CATGCCTTTTTTCACCTGCCTCCATATAGTCAAAACACTGCGCCACGCAACCCTTATAGGCCAGTATGCTGCTCTCAAAAAAGGCCTAAACTCCATATAAAATGACGTACAAGACTTGGCTAAGAACTTTTCTTGAGGCAGTACGCAGTTCTTAAGAAATTTTCTACGGTTTTCTAAAGTTTTTGTGAAAAAAGTGCACAAGGCAATCCATGCTTGCAACATAAATATATGCCCGTTCCATTATTTCTTGAGGGAAGAGTGAGGCAACAGGCTGGTGAAGTATCAGATGTCAAAATTCCTTGGACACACACACACACACGAAATAAAGCCAATTTTTTTCTTGACCGTTTTCTTGAGAGCTGCATACTGGCCTTATGGCACCTGCACTTTTTGGTAGCTCTGCCCGAGTAAATTTTAAAAATTTTACTCATACAATAGTCAATGAATTGATTCGGGCTATTTGAAATGCGTAGTTTTTCTCCTGCCTAGATCCGTCAATGGTCAATGGTTACATTGGTCAGTACTTGACGTCGCCTTTCGATTATTTGTATGCTCAACGTCTTATTTGTGCTCTCTCTCTCTTTTAAATTAAAGACCCAATCAGCTGGTTTTGTACTTGTACTCTCGTGCTCTCTCTGCTCTTTACTATTTGTCTGTGTTATCACAAAATAATTGATTATTTCTTAATTAGATTTTGACAACCACCCACAAACAGTTTAGCTTTAAGGCGCATACTTCGAAATTCAATGTATGGATTTATTTGTTGATGTTGCGAGCGTATAGACGTCTTAGGAGACACTATGATTATTTATTTTATTTTTTTAAATATTTCAATAAATAAACTATATGTAAGAATTGCACTATCCCACTAGACCATTTTGCTAGGTGTTCCTAATGTTATTCATACCTGGTTATATGTTTTTGTTAGTTTGACCGCAGTTTTGAGTAGCTGAACATTCAACTAGCTAAAGTGGCTGTAAAGTGGGAGAAGCAGAAGTAATAAATGGATACGAAGTGAGTAGATATCAAAGTTAGGTATTGAGAAGATTACGTCCTCAGCATCTTAAATTATAGCTGCTGTGTATCAGATACGATGTGTGTTAGCATATACCCACGATCGAATACGAACGATTTCACTCTATTGCTTTTTGTACTACACAAAGTCATTCATGCGTTGGTGGCCATCGCTGTGCGTTAGTCATGGGGAATAGGCATGGAAGTTGTTATGCTCCGAAGATGAAAAGTGAGGTGGAAATTATTAATAATTTGTATATATGTATTTGATTTCTGGCTTGTTTCCCCATCAAAGAAATCAAAACAGAATACCGACTTCATTGTCACTATTTTTTTACGTTGAAAAAGGGCACATTCGTTCGATAAAAAAGTGCTTAAGTGGCTCATTGACACTGGATTGGATTGTGATTTATTATTGGCAGTGGCAAAGTGATAACAGCGGTTGCTTCAAGAACGACATTATTTAATCAATCAGAATATGTCGATCGATTGATATGTGGGATCTACATACTGGTATATAGGTAATACTGTCAAAATTTGTAATATATTGCCTCTTCATCATACTTAAGTATATACGAGGGTAGGCTGGAACTTTATTGTTTTTGTAAAAAATGGAAAATATGTAATACTTTTCTGAGGCACACTCAAGCCGAAGTCAATCAGAATGGAATAAAAAAAAAAACAACTTTGAAACATTACATTTAACCCACCATTTTATAAATGTGTTCATATAAAAGACGCTTACAGTGAATAAAGTAATTATGAGAAAATGGATGAACCATCACATTACAACCAGGAGCAAGTTTCAGTTAATAATGTAGGCTCGATAGCTCCAAAGAAGAGGCAAGTATTTCCATCTACTGCAAATCTTACAGAGATCATCTTGAAAAAGAAGAAGTTTATGTATGAACGTTTGGGGGTCTTAAAAAAATATCAAAAATATGGGCATCCCTTTATTTTGCTCTACATACAAAATAAAAATATCTAAAAACTTTCAAAGTCTTAAATAACTAAAAACTTATTTCAAATTTTAAAATTTCCGTGGATGTCTTTACTTTCTTCTTCTTCTTTTTTTTTGGCGCTGTAACCGCCTAAGCGATTTTTCCTCTGTGCCAACTGACGCCAATTGGAAACGCCAAGTGAAGCCAAGTCCTTCTCCACCTGATCTTTCCATCGCAGTGGGGGCCTCCCTCTTCCTCTGCTACCACCAGCGGGTTCCGAGTTGAATACTTTCAGAGCTGGAGCGTCGGTGTCCATTCGAACGACATGACCAAGCCAGCGGAGCCGCTGTATTTTAATTCGCTGCACTATGTCCATATCGTTGTAAAGCTCATACAGCTCATCGTTCCATCGTCTGCGGTACTCGCCGTCGCCAACGCGTAAAGGACCGTAAATCTTCCGCAAAATCTTTCTCTCAAACACCCCAAGAGCCGCCTCATCGGATGTTGTCATTGTCCATGCTTCTGCGCCATATACCAGCACGGGCATGATGAGTGACTTATAGAGCGTGGTTTTCGTACGTCGAGAGAGGACTTTACTCCTGAATTGCCTACTCAGTCCAAAGTAGCACTTGTTGGCAAGAGTGATTCTACGTTGGATTTCAATGCTGACATTATTATCGGTGTTAATGCTGGTTCCCAAGTAAACGAAATTCTCTACTTTCTCGAAATTGTAACTGTCAACAGTGACGTGGGTGCCAAGGCGCGAATGTGCTGACTGTTTGTTTGATGACAGGAGATACTTCGTCTTGTCCTCGTTTACCACCAGACCCATGCGCTTTGCTTCCCTATCCAACTTGGAAAAGGCAGAACAGACTTCGCGGTTTTTGTTACCGATGATGTCGATGTCATCGGCATAAGCCAGCAATTGCACGCTCTTGTAGTAAATTGTTCCTGAGCGGTTCAGTTCTGCAGCTCTTATTATCTTCTCCAACATCAGATTAAAGAAGTCACATGAAAGGGAGTCGCCCTGTCTGAAACCCCGTTTTGTGGCGAACGGCTCGGAGAGGTCTTTTCCAATTCTGACGGAGCTGGTGGTATTGCTCAACGTCATTTTACACAGCCGTATGAGTTTTGAGGGGATGCCAAATTCAGACATAGCGGCGTATAGGCAACTCCTTTTAGTGCTGTCAAAAGCGGCTTTAAAGTCGACAAATAGGTGGTGAGTGTCGATCCTTTTCTCGCGGGTCTTTTCCAAGATTTGGCGTATTGTGAATACCTGGTCTATGGTGGATTTGCCAGGTCTAAAGCCACACTGATAAGGCCCAATCAGTTCATTGACGGTGGGCTTCAGTCTTTCACACAATACGCTCGATAAGACCTTGTAACCTATGCTTAGAAGGCTGATCCCGCGGTAGTTGGCGCGAATGGCGGGGTCACCTTTCTTGTGGATTGGGCAGAGCACACTTAAATTCCAGTCGTCGGGCATGCGTTCATCTGACCATATTCTGCACAAGAGTTGATGCATGCACCTTATCAACTCCTCGCCGCCGTACTTGAATAGCTCAGCTGGCAGGCTGTCAGCTCCAGCGGCTTTGTTGTTTTTCAGCCGCGTTATTGCTATACGTACCTCGTCATAGTCAGGCGGTGGAACGTCGACTCCGTCATCATCGACTGCGGGCTCGGGTTCTTCTTCTCCACAACTTTCCGTGCTGCTACCATTTAGTAGGGCGGAAAAGTGTTCCCTCCATAATTTAAGTACGCTCTGGACATCAGTTACTAGGTCGCCATTATTGTTCTTACAGGAGTGCGCCCCCTTTACAATAAAGAGGTGCCTCGTAAAAAATTTAGATGTTGATAATTTAAGCACCACCCTGATGTACCCACATCTATTTATAGGAAGTATATCTGGAAACCAGGTACTCACAAAATTTGATGGCAAAGCATTAGGCGATTCAGTCGCATGCATAAATAGGTTACGCTAGAAATTAAGCATTAATTTCATACCATTTTATTCGGTTCATTTCGGGACCAGAAAACAACGTTTTCATAACCACTTCGGAAATAGTTCAGAACTATTTCAGGATCATTTCGAACTAAGCCAAAATTGTTCTTAGGTAATCCTGAAGTGGTTCTGAAAAAGTCGTGAACTTGTCCCGAAAAGATTTGGAACAAGCTTAGCCCCCTAAATGATCCTGAGCCGAAATAAAAAGTTTGGAAAAGGTTGTGAAATGGTCACTTATTAGTCCCAAAATGATCCTGAACTAATCGCACAATGTCCCTAGATGAGTTCTCAACTACTCCCGAAATGGTCTTAAACTAGTGCCAAAACGGATCCAAAGTTTTCGTGAACTAGCCTTCGAATCGTGCGTTGAATAACAAACCTAGCGTATGTATGTAAGCAAAGTTATATTCCGGGGTTTTTATAATGGAGTTGCCACCTTTTGGTAAATTCTATGGAATCCATTATAAAAGTTAGGAATAAAATTCAAATAAATTAGATAGGCACAATTTTCAAATATGCGCTTCAAATGAAATGGGTTTAGTAATTTAATTGTAGAATATTTTGGAGTAGGGTTGCCATCCGAAAATTGTCAAATAAATTAAGACGATATTTTTATTTTTATTTTATTCGTATTTATTTTTATAATTATTAGTTTACATTAAGCAATACAAAATATTAATAAGTTTTTTTTTCGTTTTACTTTCAAACATTTCCTTTTAAATACAATTCATTTTTAATAATTAAAATTTAACTATTGTTTTTAACAATTTACATACAATCATTATTATTGTCAATCGCGCTGTATTTTTTTCTTTATATAAATATCTATGTGTAGTTATATTTGCTGCCAGTGCAAAAAGTTCTCCATGTGTATTAGGCAAAATATTGCCTTTTCGATGGAAATTTAAGAATTATATTTTTGAAGCGTAAAGAAAACTAAAAGTTGCTATTTAAGTATTTAAAGTAAATTTGTAAATATGGCGGTCAAAATTTTCGAAAATTATTTAATACAAATTTAGTTTATTGTAAAATTGTTTTTTAAAAAATATTCTCTTTTTGTGAGTTTTGCCTGGCAATGGCGTTATGAACGAAATAAATTACAAACAAAAAACAAAAAAAAAATAAGAAAAAAATCCTATACAATGCGAAAATTCTAAATTCTATTTACAGTTGCTTTTAAGGTTAGATTTCTATTAACTGCTAACATTGCTGGCTAAAGCAATGAAAGTGTTTTGTTGTGTGTGTTTATTTTTTTGTGTGTCTTTCGGTGTGTGGTGTGTGTTTTTTGTTGTTGTTTAATTTTTTAAATTGTTTTATTTAGTTGAAAGTAAAAATTTAACTTAAAGTAGTGACTATACATTTCGATTCGTTTTTGTTTTTGTATGTTTCGTTCTTTTTATTTTTTGTTATTCAGTTTAGAAAGTTTCGCTATGCCGCTTAGCTTTCCAAACGCTTTTGACTCAAAGGCACAGCGTAAATTCAACGCAAACACGCAAGCAACCAAAGTTCGCTGCACAGTTGCTGGCTGTTGCGGTGAATTCACGTCGTTGCCAGAGTGTATGTAGGCGATGGTTGAGTGGGGGGCGCGCATACTTGTTTAAATTTTTTTTTTTGGATTTTTTTTTTTAATTTTTTAGTAGCGTTTTTAGTAAAGTTTTACACATACATATATCGCGTTTATATTTATTTATATATATATATATATATTTAATCATAATTTGCGTACGCACTTCGCAATCACAACAAGCATACATTAAGGTTTAAAATTAAATAAGGAAAAAAACGTTTAAATAAAATTAAAAAAAAAAAATTCATTAACAAAAATAATTTTTTAATAAAAAAAGTAAACGCACTTGACTAACACGCTTTTTTACTTGCTTATGATTGGTTATATTAAATTTCAAATATTTTTAATATTATTTTTTTTTTTATAAAATGTTATTAGTACGCGTTAAATATTTAATAGTAAATACATTATATTAAAATTAATTAAGCAAATCCTCCATTAGTCGCTTTGCGGATAGGCAGAAGTGTTAAAAAATGTATATAAAATTTATTGAATAATAATTTTTTAATAAAAAATCGGAACAACGTTTAGGCAGCTATTTTATTATTTGTTTTTTTTTGTAATTTTTGATATTTACAAAAATCGTGCGCACAAATGCAAAGCGCAAGGCATGATGGGGGCAGCTTGGTGGGCGAATATTTTTTCAAGCCTTTTATTTTTAGCTGAGGAAGTGCTTGGCAGTCAAGTTGTTTTTGGTTTTTATTGTTGTATATATGTATGACTTTTCGTTTGCTTTCTCCAGTGCTTTTTTTAAGCGTTCCACAATTTGTTGGTTGTTTTATTTATTTGCCTTTGTTAATAAATAAATAAACATCTCTTATGCTTGATTTGTTGTTGTACAAAACATTTTAATTTATTTTTCTTTAAGTCGCCATATTCGTTTAACTACAGTTGCTTCAACATAACCTCCTTAGCTTCAAACAGGTTTGAAAGGTTTTTTTTGTAACTTCCTTCTTTTATACAAAGTTGTGTCAAGAGGTTTTCACAAAGCTTCTAAAAGGTTTTTTTTTCTAACTTATTTTTTGTTGGCTCTCTTTCCACCATTTTTGGTTGCTTTCGATGCTTTCCTTCGTAATTTCTTTTCGCCGCTCTTTTCTTGCCCTTCTGCCCCACCTTGTCTTTGCTTTTTGGAGTATTTTTTTTCTCCTTCTTGCATTGTTCATTTGATTCTTCGAGTGTCTCAGGGCAGTTTATAGTTTTCTTCATTTACATTTATAAGTTATAGGAAAATTTTATAGCATATATACATACACCTATAACTATTTACTTAGACTGTGTGCTGTGTTTTTTTTTTTTGTTTCTTTTTTCTATAATACAAGTGCATATCTAGTAGAGGTCCACCTAACCTAATCATATCTCTCTAACGTGTTCCACTTTTTTTTTTAAATTTATTTGATTGCATACAATGAACAACTCCGCTATACGGCTTTCGTATACTTTTGTTACTGAGTGTAGCGCCCAAAAGTATGCAGTATTCGAGTCTGTGAAACGGTTCGCGAGTTACATGGTTAGACCAGTGGATTGGAGTACAGCATATACAAAATATACAGAAGAAGAATAATGCCTTAAGCTGAAATCTGAATTTGCAGTACATTCGGTGATGAGGCAAGCGCTCTCTCTGGCTGCATAGTATTCTTAATCTGCTGAAATCAAGATCAGTATCTTTCTTCTTTTTTGACGTGGAATTGCCAGTGGTCATGTTCTTTACAGTGAACAAGTTGTTCCGGCCGTCATCATTTTATGCATTCGTCGCTGTCGTTGGTGAGTTCCGCCTGCTCTACTCTGATCATATTAGTGCGGCCGCCATAGAAATGCCAATGCCTCTTCTGTATACTGTTTATTCTGTTCTGTGTTTGGAGGTAGCCCACCACCTACAGAGTTTTTCATGTGCGTATGTATTTATATATGTAAATAAGTATGTATTATAGTACATTGTTTTTTTTTTTTTACAGGGAAGACAAGTCTTTAATTACTAATACAATAGTGGCATATGTCAGTGGTAGCGTAATTGTATACATACTATTTCCTTAAGTATCCATACAAATATGCTATTCGTGCTTTTCGACTAATGAAGAAGTTGTATTTGTTAGATGAGAATTCTTTCGTAGCCTGGCTACCTTTCTGCAATACTTCAGAAAAGAAAAGAAAAAATATTTTTCTGAGGTATTGCGTTCATTTCCTATTTCTATCACTTTCGCTTTCTTTTTCCCTTTTTCGCTCTTTTCTCTTCTCTTAAACACCTTCTCATGCCCGATAAGCCTTTTTGCCTTTTTCTTCAACTACTAACTATGCGTAAATGCCTTTGTGCTACTCTTTCTTCTACATATGTATAGTATGTTTGTCTATAAACATAAGCAGTGTTATAGCTTTGGCAGTTGTTCATAGTTATTTTTAAAAATATTTTTTTCTAACTACAGTTTTTTGTTTAATTGCGTACTCCTATTAAAAAAAGTATAAAAAAATTAAAAAAAAGAAAATATCTGTACAAAAAAAAAAATTTAAATATTTAAATGTTATTTTAACGCATTTATCGCATACTTTGCTTTGAAGAAAAATTCAAAAAGCTACTTGAAATTCTCATTTTAGTTAAAATACGAGCGCTCGGTAGCCTTTGACGTCTAATTAGGCTAGGCTACGCTACGCTCTTTAGGAATGTCATGGTGAGTTGAGGAAAAAATATTTACTTATACATTTACATAAAGTATATAATACACTCTCAGTTACGCGTGATTTTTTCATACGAAATCATAACGTATTTTCGTAAATTTTGACACATTCTGTTTCATATTTCTCTTTCACTATATTTGGTTGTGCTCGCTTAACGCTTTTGTTTTTCTTTGCGCTCATTTGTTTACCTCTATATTTCAGATATTACAGCAAATCGTTAATCAATGAGCACACGCGCGCTCTCAAACTTTTTGCACGAGCTTCTTTTCTTTAGCTATACAAATTCGTTTACTTTTTACTAAATTACATTATGATTCTTTCATTTTATCATCTTTCATCAATTTTGTTTTGCTTTAAATTTCTTAACTAACCTAAAAACTAGCATATTTACTCGTTCGTTTTTGATTCTTCCTTATGATAGATAGTCTGGTGTTGGCTCTGGCACAGCTTCAGCATTCGCAAATAGCGGATTGGGGAACTCTGGCGGATGCGGTAGCGGCGCTAGTGTTTTTGGTCGCCGACGATAGGCCATGAGCCAGCAGGATACGGCCACTGCGACAGCTACCAAAGCCAATAGAGCTGTTATCACCAGCGCTATTATCAGCCCCACCATGGAGACGCAAATGTCTTCAACGCGTTGCGCGGCGGGTTTGACTGTAAAGAAGAGAAAATTTGAAAACAATTGTTAATAAACTTGTGAAACGTAATCGCGCGTGTGCGCTCTTTCCTCTATATTTCACTTTCGCGCTAATACGCGCTCTCTCTCTTGTTCTGGCGCTTCAAAAACGAGCGCCTTTCTCATTCGCGCTAGCCCACACGCTTCTGTCTCTTTCTCTCTTACGCATACCACTTTTCTCTTTCGCACACACAGGCTCTCTCGCTCTTTAACGAGCATTCTTCCAATGTCTTCACTACTTTTCTCTTTCATACATATTCACTTTGCCTTTTCCTCTCTCTCTCTCTCTCTGTCTCTCTAGCCCTTTCCCCCTTTCCCTACTTACTATTCGCATCATTGATGCCTGGACCGCTGCGCTTCTCGAATGTCAATATCGCATTCGATGATATGGTTATCTCTTCACGCAATTGTCCTTCAACGCCAGTGTTAGTCGCCACCGCAGTTGTATCTGTGGAGTTGTCCGCAATCGCTCGTCTTCTTCTACGCCCGAAAGCGTTATAGCCGCGGCAATTAACCGGTTGGCATCTACCAAAGCAGACGCGTATATTACATTGGAAACGTATATTATCACTGGAGGGGAATTTGAAGGCATTAAAGTTGGCCATGAGGCTGTTGGTGTCCGGATTGTATTCCCATTCGCCAAAGATTGAGGCGTCGGTGGCGCAACCATTCTCATCGGTTACAATATACTCATTCTCCACATTATCCTCCATTGTTTTGGCAATGCAAGAACGCGCGAAGCCACCATAGATTGCTAAAAATAAATGAGATCGAAACCAAATTTAAGTTAAGTTCAAAAATGCACGCGCTCTCAGAAATACTCACTTGCTGGCTCTACGTCTACTTGCAGTTTGAGATTGTCGCCAATCTCCGCCGAATTGATCTCTTCGCCTTCGTGCGTAATGATGCGCATTTGACAGATAGGCGGTGGTCCAGTGTTGGCAATTGTACCTGCTGTGGTTAGCATGGATACATTGAAACCGAGCGTGACATTCTTCTCACCCGTCTGGTAGACACATTTGATGTTGTAAGCTTGCGCTTTGTAAGTGACCAATTTAGGATGTTTCTGTATGACCAATACAAAGCTGGCAATATCTTTTACAGCTTGCATGCCGCAACTGCCGAAGTGCACACGGAAGATTTCGGTTCGTGGTACGCTTTCGCCCGCCAGATTGACCACCCGTCGACATTCTTCATCCTTGCTGTGTCCCTTCACGTAGAGCACACCATTGAAACCGGGCTCGGTAATATGTATCTCGACTTGTACACCGTCAGCCAGACAGCTGACCAACATATCGGGTCGTGGGAAATCCGTCCGGAAGTTGGTGTGATTGCAGATGAGCTCTGGATTACCGGTGTAGCCGGTGATGCATTGACATTGCGCTCTATGATTGATAGCATTACAGAATGCGTTCACGCCGCAGAGCTTTTGCAGACATGGATCCTCGCAGGTCTTGGTTCGCGTGTTACAGTAGCGATTGTCGGCGCAGTCGTCATTCGTTTCACAGCCAGGTTGGTCTTCGGCCACGCATTCGCCGGCAGGTGTGAGTCGGTAGCCATGGTCCGTTGGGCAGATACAGCGTCCACGTTCATCAATTACCATGCCGCGTTCTAGCGCGCATACACAGCGCCCATTTTCGTCAATCTTATAGCCTTGTTGTGGCAGGCAGGGTGTGCAATATTCGTAGATGTCCAAAGCAGTGCCTGGTGGGCAGATACACTGACCGTCTATGTCGCGCACAAATCCTTTCTCGATCACGCACAATGAACGCTTATCGCACTGTACGGCTGCGTTACCAGTGTAACCCTCCAAGCATTCGCAAATCATTGTACGCACTGGTACTGTATCCAGCACGCGACAATCAGCATTCACGCCACACGGATGTGTTGCGTTGCATGGATTGACGCATTCGCCGCGTATGCAAGCAGTTTGGCTCGGACAATCGCCGTCGTAGGTGCAAATTGGTATTTCGCGTAGTGGCTCGCAACCATTGCGGCGCGCAATAGTGCCTGGTGGACAGCCACATTCCGGACGATGGTTGTAGACTTTGCATATTTCGTCATATGCACATACAGCCTTCGTCTCGCATGGGTTTTCACATTTTCCATTTACACAAGCCTTATCGGACGGACACTCGTTGTCAGCCCGACAGCCGAGTGGTGTGCAAGCGATGCGCGCATTTCCGCGGTAGCCTGGCACACATTCGCACACGGCGCGGTGGTCAACTGCCAGACACTGGGCATTCCTGCCACACTGCTCACCTTGACAGGCAGGCACACAAAGTTGGTTCCGGCAAGCGTGCGTCGCTGGACAGTCGGAGTTGATGGCGCATTCTATTTTGGAGCACTCAAATTCTGGATTTCCTTCATATCCTTGACGACATGTGCATACAGGTTTATGGTCCTTGATGCGACACTCGGCATTCAAGCCGCAGTTGCAGGGATCGCGGCAGACGCCATTAACACAAGATTTATCTGCAGCGCAGTCGGAGTCGGCAATACAGCCGCCTACATCCACTATGGTCTTCGTTGGTTTACAAGTGCCGCTACCGCTGCTGATATAGCCATCGGGGCAGATACAGATCATGGTACGCACTGGCGAGGTCGGGGTAACTTGGCATTGAGCAGGTCTGTTGCACGGTTCGAGCGTGAGACAAGGGTCTACGCACTCATCGTTGATGCAGGCCAAAGTTGCGGGGCAGTCTGTATCTACTCGGCATGTGGGTTGTGGTTCTGGACGGCAATCGACGTATGGATTTCCTAGGAAGCCAGTTGGACAGCGACAGACTGCCAAGTGATTTTGCGCGCGGCATTCGGCGCGTGGTGAGCATGTGTTGTGATAGATGCAAGGGTTTACACACTGTTCATTTTGACACATTTTGTCGGTGGGACAGTCGTTGTTCGTGAGACAGCCGATGACGCGACAACGCTCATAGGCATTGCCACGATAACCGCTCTTGCAGCGGCAGACAGCGCTATTCGCCTGTACATGGCACTCGGCGTTGATGCCGCAAGGATCGTTAACCAAGCAGGGGTTGATGCAATTGCCGTTGATGCAAGCCTTACCTGAGTCGCACTCACTGTCGATGCGGCAACCTATCGTTCGACAGACGGAGTAAGGATTACCTTCGTAACCATCTTGGCAAGAGCAAGTAGCGCGATGATTCTGCACCTGACAAATGGCGTTGGTGCCACAGTTGCATGGATTGCGACACTGACGGTTGATGCACGCCTCCTGGTCTGGACAATCGGCGTCAGTGCTACAACCTGGTGGGCTTTGCAGCACAATAGGTTTGCACTCACCGCGCGCATCGGGCACATATGATTCGGGGCATTCGCATACCATAGTTCGTACTGGTACACTATCAAGTACACTACATTTAGCTGAGGCGGCACAAGGTGAAAGTATGGTGCACGGGTTCTGGCACTTGTTGTCAATGCAGGCCAAGCGGCTCGGGCAATCGCCATCATCGCGGCAAACAGGCTCCACAGGACGTCGCTCACAGTAAGAGTATGGGTTGCCGAGCGGCATTGTTTCGGGGCAGCGGCAGACAGCGCGATGTTGTAGCGCCTGACAGATGGCATTTTGTGCGCAGGGACTATCCTGGCAAGGATTAATACATTGATTGCGTACACATGCTTGATTCGTGGCGCAATCATAGTCCGAATGGCATTCGACGCGCACGCAACGTTGGAACGGATCACCCTCCAAGCCAGCGGGGCAGCGACAGGTGGCGCGATGATTGCGACCAAAGCACTCGGCATTGAGCGCGCATGGATCGCTTACTAAGCAAGGATTAACACATTCACGGTTAACGCATTGCTGATCCGTGGAACATTCGTCGTCCGATTGGCAGCCAATTTGTACGCAGCCGAATTGCGCATTCCCAGAGTAGCCAGGTTGACAGTAGCAGATGGGGTGATGATTGCGTACGATGCAGTCGGCATTCGGGCCACAATTGCAAGGGTTGACGCAACGTTCGTTGACGCATGACTCGGTTAGTGAACAATCAGAATTGGATTTGCAGCCAATTGTGGATACGTCTGGTGCTGTAGGTTAAAGAAAGGGAAGGCACATTAGCTATTCTAAAGTGAGGAAAAGGGTATTTGTACTTACGTGGTACACAAGCGACGCGCGCATCGCCTTTGAAACCGGGCGGGCAGCGACACACAGCTGCTCTGTTCTGAACATGGCAGTAGGCGCCGGGTCCGCAAGGATCTTCCACACACGGATTTATGCAGCGTTCATTCTTGCAAGTCTTATCATTTGAACAGTCATCATTTTTCGTACATTCCGCGCCCGGTGTCTTAGGTTGTTCGTGTACTATCAGTTGACATTCGACGCGTGGATTACCTTCGTAACCGCGTGGGCATGTGCATTCCGCATAGTGATCGCGCGAGCGGCATTGTGCATTAACACCACAACGTTCCAGACGGCATGCGTCGATGCAAACGCCGCGTTGACATACCTCAGCGTTGCTACATTCATCGTTGCTCTGGCAACCACTTACAACTTCATGTTTAATCGGAACACAATTGCCCGAGGTGTCGGTGATTGTATCGCTCGGACACTTGCAGATCATGGTACGTAGCGGCAGTGTATCGAGCACGTGACAGGTTTGTTGAGGTGTGCAAACATGTGGCGTAGCGCATGGATTTGCGCAATGCTGGTTGATGCAAGCCAATTGCGAAGGACAGTCGGCATCTTGCGTGCACTCCGGTGCGACCTTAGTCGGTGGTTCGCGTGGCAGTTGGCATTCGACGAACGCGTTGTCTGTGTAGCCTGAACGGCACTCACATTGCGGCTGATGACGTCTACCTGTGCAAATGGCATTCACAGCGCAGGTGTCTTCATCGCAGACCGGGCGGCAGACTCGATTCAGGCGATCGCAAGCTTCATGATCGGCGCAATCCTCGTTGAATTGACAATGACCTGTGATGCAGGAAACAAATGGACTGCCTTGTGTGCCTGGTGGACAAATGCAGACGGCTTGGTGATTCTGTGGCGCGCACTGTGCTCCAGTGCCGCAGCGTACTTCGCCATAGTTGCAAGGGTTCACACAATTTTCATTGATGCAGGCCTTGTCGTAGGGGCAGTCGGCGTTGATCTTACATTCCGCTGTATGAATAGACGATGATAGTTAGAGTTAGGGTCACGGTTGGAAATTTATTTGCGCTAAAAGCGCTTGGAGACTTACGTTTGTAGCATTGAACTTGTGGATCACCACCCCAGCCAGCGGGGCAAGAGCAAATTGGGCGCGAGTTGCGCACGCGGCACTCGGCATTGCCAGCGCATGGGTTTGCTTCAGCGCAGGGATCTTGGCAGCGCTGATTGATGCAGGCCGTGGTCGGTGTGCATTCCGTATCGTGCGTGCAGCCGGCGGTAATTTGAGCTATAGGACAAGCGAGAGTAAATATAAAAAGTGAATACTTCTATTGTCGGTAGGGTAAAGCTTACGTGGTTGGTAACAGTTGATGAACGGATCGCCTTGAGTGCCTTGTGGGCAACTGCAGACGGCGCGATGTCGTTGCGCTAAGCATTCGGCGGTGCGCGCGCAAGGCGAGCCATCGGTGCAAGGATTCACGCAAACACCATTTCGACAGGCCTCGGTATCTTGGCATTCGCTGTTCGATTGACAGCCGTGATCCCGTGCAGGTTCTGTGGTGGAAAATGAGAATTAGTGTTCATCAGGAGTCAGGGTAATTGTAGCAGAAAAAGAAAAGAAACGAAAGAGCTAGCTGCTTTGTGCTTGCTAAACTTGCAAAGTTGTGTATAACTGTACAACAAAGTGTTAAATTGTTGGTTAACATGCGCTTTTGACACGCTTTAGCTTCAACGCATATAAAAGTTATACAAATAAATATATATACAATGCAACTAAAATATGTGTAGCTATAAAAGTAATCAAAAATTATGCTGCAATGAGAAAAAGACTCAAAAAGGCATAGATTTAAAACTCTACAAACACTTTTAAACCCCACCGTCAACCTACCTTTACGACAGCCAACATCAGCATCACCAACATAACCGGGTTCACATTGACAGATCATTGTGCGTAACGGTAGTGTATCCACCACCGAGCAAATAGCATTCGCGCCACATGGTTGCGTCACAGCGCATGGATTCTTACATTCTCCGCCGAAGCACGCCAACTTGCTGCTACAATCCGCATCCATAGTACATTGTGGTGCCACTTTAGGTTCCTCGAGCACACAGCTCACTAGCGGATTGCCACTGTAGCCTGGTGGGCAACGGCAAAGCGCGCGATGATTATCGACGCGGCACTGCGCGCCAACACCACAATTGCATGGATCTTCACAGCGTTCATTCTTGCAGGCCAAATTAAAGGTACACTCATCGTCGCTTGAGCATTCGGGACGCTCGCAGCGCACCAAAGGATTGCCACGATAACCGTCTGGACAATGGCAGCGCGCTTTGTGATTGTAATCGGCGCGGCAAATAGCATTCGTGCCACATTGTGTGTATGGGCAAGGATCGGTACATTGCTTGTTGATACAGGCCTCGGTGGCGGGACATTCCTCGTCTGAACGGCAGCCAATTAGGTGGCAGTAGCTGAAAGCGTTGCCCGTGTAACCTGGTGGAGAAAAAAAAAATATATATTAATTACATGATAAACTACTGATATTGGATAATTGGTAAAACAAAAACGAATGTATGGACATTTCAAAGAAAAAATATTGGAGATTTTTCAATTGGACCCTTGACTAATCTTTGTGTTACGGCGGAAAAAATATCAGAAGTAACTATGTATGTATATGTAATATTCGATATCGACCAATCAATGCCATAATCGCAAGAGCCCAATGTTCCGTGCTCATGGCTGTTAACCTGGTGGTATTCCTTCATGACTTCACTAATAAGTCCATTTTTAATATGCTATAGTGCGTCGAAAATTTTCTAGCAGGTTTCGGTGTAATATGGCCCATTGTGTTTCAGCCAACTGCACGAAATGGGGCAAAAGTTTATTATTTGTCGCATTGGTCAGGAGATGCTCTAGCCCTTGTTAATTTATCAGCCTCCTTTTTACGGTTATACTTTATATTCCTATGACCAAGTACACAGGCGATGCAGATATTCATTGATTCGAATATCGGCGTTAACATACAGCTACAATCCCTGAATAACTTAGTATTGTTCGTAATTGATTTCACAGCCAAAAGTGCTTCTCGACTATCCGAGAAAATGTATGCCTTATGTTACGGGTTCTCTTGGAGGATGTAAGCAAAGTTGGATAGTCGGAACGAGAGACACATCCATCATCTCAGATAATACTCCCTCATCCAGGGCACAGCACATTTTTGAACCTATCAGTATAGATGGCGTCGAAATTCTTCTCAATTACCCTGCTTTAACTCCAATGACGCCTAAACGGAAACTTCACATAAACTATGCTCATTTTACCTCTTATAAAAAAACCTTGCGCTTTTCTACTTTCAATTAAAGAATTTCTTGCAATAATGCACAATAGGATAAAGGTGTCTAATGCAACGCTAAAGCACTTCGTCTCAGAGGATATTGTGAGATTGGGCTAAAGAGGTTTCAAATAATTTCATTTATAATTACTCCGGGTAGCTAAAATTCTTTATGCCATTACCTCTTAATATCCTCACCGCAGACCCGCTAAAGTTTGTTCCATTGCCGTTTACGGGAAAATACAAACCGAAACTTAATTTCAATATTCTTGTGTAGTGGACACTTGAATGCACTGACAAGGTCTAGTTAGGTATAGTAAGGAAGCGCTCGATTGAAAATGTTGGTAGAGTTCGCCCTTTGAGGGAACTATAAAAAAAGCCTTAGGGATCATCTGGCCTTGAAGAATTGCCCTAAAAAATTATACATCGGCTAGCTTATGTCCACCTCTCTGGTTGGTGGATCGATATGAAACAACATCTTATCTTCAGTTCAGTTTTAGGCACTAGTCCCAACAAAGTTTCTCGTGAAGATATCTGATCCCTAGGCTCAGATGTTTAGACACAAATGGATCGGAAATAAGTAAAAGCATTAGATTAGCCCTGGTATTTAACCGTCCTAACCTGGTAGTTTGCGCTGCGCACTAACAATCGGTATGACGCAGACTGGATCGTTAGTCCGTGCAATAGCTACAAACTATAGAAACAATGGAGAACTGCTGAGTCTAGGTAAAGCTTCTCATAAAAGCACCAGTCTTAGAGATGGGTAATGCGTCTAACTATCAATGTTTCAGTTGCCTGATAGAGGTCTCTACATTAAGAAAGCAGGTGATAAAATATTGAAGCCTGCAATACGAAAAAATGTATGCGCCCTGAATGGAACATGAGAAGATCAAGAGAAATTCTAACTTTCAGTAAAGCTAAAAGAGACTGCTAACAACAGACTCGAATTATGTTCCTGCGATCTCTTCGGGAGTATGCATAGAAGAGCTGTTCAAAGCTTATAACCTACTGGAGATTCCTGTTAACATTTTCCCACGGCAATCGGGTCCTCCTAACATAAATGACCCAGATTTATATTTTATTAACGACTGCCACTTCGTGGATTTTAATAGCTTGGAAAGATGTTAGAAGGAGTACTAGATCGGAATGGTTGGAAGACACGTATGAACTATTATGGGAAAAAACATTTTCCGAGCGCGGGAATAGGTCTGTGAGGCCGCCGAGCAGTCCCTATATGATAACCTAACCTTACCCTCCTTAACTACTTACTTTCAAGAGAAAAAAAAATACCGCAGAAAAACCCAGAAACTGACACCAATGCCGTTGCATCCAAAATTACCTACGGACTGAAGTAATTTACTCATAGGCGACTGCACCAGACACGATGGCCTGTTATTGGATCTGAGGCTATTACTGCATGATTTTGTCGGCCCTACTTTATGAGCAACATATATTTAAGATATCAGTGGAATCTCGAAAACTATGTTTTTTCTCTTCGAAATTGTAAAGATTAAAATGTGCAAACGCTTCTTGGTTAAACGTCTCCAAACTCAACAAGATACTACTAAAGTCTCTGCTTAACTATACCCATTGCAAACGAGTACTAAAATATATGTTCTAGGCTTCTTGTACTCACCTTCATTGCAGACGCAGAGTGGTCGGTGTAGCTGCACATGACAGCGCGCATTTGTGCCACAGATATTCGAGAGTTCACATGGATTCTGGCATGCCTGATTTATGCATGCCTTATCGTTGGAGCATTCCGAGTCGGTGGTACATTCTGGCCTTGGCGCTGGTATTTCTTCCATTTGTGGCAGACACTGATTAAACGGTGAACCATAGTAACCAGCTGGACATGTGCATACCGCCTTATGATTGATAGCATTACAAATTGCGTTCACACCGCAAGCATTGATACATGGATCGCGACATTTCTGATTAATACAAGCACGATTACGGGAGCAGTCCTCATTAGTTACACACTCTGGATATGTACAAGTGGCAGCGCCATTAATAACTTGGCAAATGCCATTGCTACGGCATGGTGATGGATTGCATGGATCCACAGGTTTCGGTGGCGCATGACATTCAACAAACGGATTGCCAACCATTGAATTTGGACAGCTGCAGATGGGATTGTGATTCACCGTCTGGCACTGTGCACCATAACCGCAAACACCAGGGCATGGGTCGACGCACTTCGAATTGACGCACGCTCTATCCTTGGCACAATCCGAACTAAGTGTACATTCGGGACGACAGCCTTGGCCATATGGATTGCCGAAGAAGCCTGGTAAGCACTCGCAAATGCCTTGATCGCGCTGCACTTTGCAGACGGTGTTGATGCCACATGGTGTTGGATAGCAAGGATCGCGACGTTCTTCAGGCTCCATTGCGATAAGTGAGCACTGAATGAATGCGTTGCCAGTGTAGCCTGACGGACATGAGCATATCGGTATGTGGTTGTGTATGCTGCACAGCGCACCCACGCCGCAAGTGCCTGGGCAAGGATCGGCGCATTTGTTGCGTATGCAAGCCCGATTCGAGGGGCATTCAGAATTGCCAATACACTCAGGACGGCAACCCTCGTAGGGATTGCCGATGTAGTCGTTTATGCAGACGCAAGTGTAGCTATCGCCACGTCCGCGGCATTCACTGTTCGAGCCGCAAGGTGATGGACGGCAAGGATCGCGTGGTTCCTGTTTCGGTGGCGGTGGAAGAACTGAAATAAAATATAATAAACGTGAAAGTTTTAGAAATGAACCGGTTAAGTGGGTAAAAGGTTAATGTCAACTTGCTTGCGCCTTACTTTTAGGTGCCTCATAACATGCGCGGAAGGGATCTCCGGTCATGCCACTTGGGCAATGGCAATTTGGTATGTGGAAGGTGACAAGACAGTTGGCATTTACACCGCATGAGCCGGGACAAGGGTCACGGCATTTGAGATTGATACACGCCAGATTGTTAGGACAATCATCATTGGTCGAGCATTCTGGGTGACAATTGGGTGGAGCGCCAATATAATTGAGAAGGCAGGCACAACGAGCCTGTCCCTGTTCATCGGTACATTGCGCGTTAGGACCGCAAGGCGATGGAACGCAAGGGTTCTTTTGTACGCTTGGCGGTTCTTGACGTATTTCTATAAACAGTGTTTCAAACTGGTTAGTGGCTGGACTTTAATTCGCGATTTTTACCAGCAACCACTTACCTGTTCTCGTGCAAAGTGAATATGGATTACCGCTATAGCCGCGTATACATTCACAATGTGCGCGATGTTGCACTGTCTGGCACTCGGCGTTCTGACCGCACTGACCGGGACAAGGATCAACGCATTTATTGTTGATACACGCGTGTATTTGTGCACAATCCGAGCTAGTGTAACACTCCAGACGGCAGTTCGGTGGATTGCCCAAATAGCCGGTGATGCAAGAGCAGATGGCATTACCACCACGTTCAATGCACTGCGAATTAGGACCGCACGGTGATGGTTGGCAAGGGTTCTTCTGTTCGACATCACGCACTGGCTCGCAGGCGACGAATGCATTGCCAGTCATACGTTCAGGACAGCGACACATCGGTATGTGATTGATGACATCGCAGAGAGCGCGCTGACCGCAAGTGCCCGGACAGGGGTCCACACACTTATTGTGCACGCAGGCGCGATCACGCGCACAATCCGCATTGAGGACACATTCTGGGCGGCAGCCGATAAGAGGATCGCCGTGATACTCTGGAATGCAGGAACATTGACCGTTGTTGCAGACAGTATTTGCGCCACAAGGCGAGGGTATGCACGGGTCGATAGGTTCAGCCGGTTCTGTAAAGCGGTATGAGTAATCAATATAATAGAGAGTTCAACAAGCGTAGATCGATGAAATTACTTGGTGCTGGTGGTGGTGGTGGCAACAGACGACAGCTGGTAAACGGATCGCCGCTGTATCCCGCAGGACAAGAGCAGCTTGGTGTGTGATTGATAACATTACAGAGCGCTGCGAAACCGCAAGAGCCGGGGCATGGATCGCGACAACGTTGATTCATGCAAGCCAGATTGCTGGCACATTCCGCGTTGATTGTACACTCCGGCCTGCAGTTGGGTGGTGCGCCAATATAATTTGACAAGCAGCTGCAAGTCGCGGCGCCATTTACTTCGCGGCATTGTGCGTACGATCCACAAGGTGAGGGAATGCATGGATTGACGTCGCGCGGTGGTGCAGGCGCTGGAGTACGCGGCGCTAAAGGGGTAGTGAAAGGATAGTTGGTAAGTTGAGGGCGAAATGCGTCAAAGTGGGTTGTCGCTTACGTGGTATCGGTTGACAGCTGGTGAAAGCTTCGCCGGTATAACCTGATTTACAAGCGCATAACGGACTATGGTTACGTACGTGACACTCGGCATTAATTCCACATGCGCCCGGACAAGGATCCTTACATTTTTGATTGATGCATGCCTTATCCAATGGACACTCGGAGCTGACGACACATTCCGGATGACAGGCTGGTGGAACGCCTACGAAATCGGGCAAGCAGGAACAGACGGCTTGTCCATTTGAATCGCGACATTGCGCATTGGCGCCACACGGCGATGGTTGGCAGGGACTTACGGGAACGCTAGGTTCGGCTGTTATGAATTACAAGAAATTAGTATCAACTTTCAGGTATTGAAGGCAGTTGCAACCAATGCGTAAGCGAATATTATGGGCTACTAGGCCGCGAAAGCAAACTTTGTTATTTCGAAGCGGAGTAAGTATAGATTTAAATGTTTATTATACGCTTAAATTAATGTTATAATTATATTAAATGTATGTGCGCAATAAATATTGAGTGCAGTGGCTTTTCCCTAGTAACAAAGCTAAAAATAAAAGTTTTTTGCTTTAGGCAATTATGATGGAGGTTTTTCTTTTGAACTGCTAGTCGGGTATGAATCACATTGCTTAAACTTAGAGCTTTTTGCGGAAGGAAGTAAGAGTTATTACATAGCGGGTTACATTTACTGCCTTGGGTGACTGAAAGGGAGCCAAGTGCAGTTATTTGGGTGACTTGCAAAATTAGACTTTGCGGATTGGAAATTTTAATAGTTGGCTTTGAAAGGCATTACACTTTGAAGTTTAGTTTATTTAGTTTGGTAGTTCTGCATTGCTTTCGGGTTTAGAAAGTATAGTTATTGACTTTAGGGGCAGGAAGTTGAAGCGAAAAACCTGTGCTTATACAAAATTTCTTACGTTCTGCTTGCACCACTGTGCAACGCGTATACGGATCGCCGCGATAACCAGGTAGACATGCGCAGTTTGGTACATGATTGACGACATGACACATAGCGTCTGAACCGCACGTGCCAGGACATGGATCGCGACACTTCTGATTCTGACACGCCTTGTCCGCTGCGCAATCTGAGTTTCTAACACATTCCGGTCGACACACTTCATAGGGATTGCCGTAGTAGTTGGGTAGACATTGGCATACGCTAATGCCATTTCGCGGTTGACAAATCGCATTCGGGCCGCAGGGGCTGGGACTGCAGGGTAGAGCCACTTCCGTAGGCGGTTCTTGTTGTCGCACGCACGCGCTAAAGGGATCGCCGGTATAACCGCTTGGGCAGTAACACATTGCGCTGTGCGCCAACACACGACACTCGGCTGCAGCGCCACACGAGCCTGGACAAGGATCGGCGCACTTGCGATTAATGCATGCCTTGTCCGAAGCGCACTCAGCACTGGTAACGCATTCGGGACGGCAGTGTGGTGCAGTGCCGATAAATTCGCGTAAACAAGTGCACTGTGCGCCATTAGGTGTGGCGGTACATTCGGAGTTCGGACCGCAAGGTGACGGTTGGCAGGGATTCGTAGGCTTTTCATCACGTACTGGTGCTGGGGGTGGTGTAACTGCAAAAGGGGTTGATATGTTAAGTGAAAGGAATTTAACTGAGAATTTAATGGACGCAGTACTTATGGGTTGACAAGCAATAAATGGATCGCCCGTGTAGCGTTGTGGGCAAGCGCATATAGGGCTATGATTTTGCGGATGACAAATGGCGCGTAGACCGCAAGCACCGGCGCAAGGATCCTGGCAACGTTGATTTAAGCAGAACTTATCGAGCGTACACTCCGTGCTTGAGACGCACTCTGGACGACAGGATGGTGGAGCGCCAATAAAGCCAGGTAAGCAAGAACATATAGCTTGCTCATGCGCTTCGCGACACTGAGAGTTCGGGCCACAAGGGGAAGGATGGCAGGGATACACAGGCGCAGGAGGTTCAGCGGCTGAAATTGAGAACGTGTAAGCATCTAAAAGGCTGAAATGGACAGTCGTCGTTTCTTTACTTGGTATGCTATCACAACGCACGAAAGCGTTGCCGGTGAAGCCGTCGGCACACGAACACATCGGTATGTGATTTATAACATTGCATAGCGCTTGTGCGCCGCAAGTTCCCGGGCACGGATCTTTGCATTTCTGATTGATGCAAGCGCGATCACGTGCGCAATCGCTATTGAGCACACACTCCGGTCGGCAGCCACTGTAAGCGTCGCCCATATAGTCGGGTAGACATGTGCACACTCCTTCTCCACTGCAGACGGCATTGGCGCCACAAGGTGATGGTACGCAAGGATCTTGCTTGATGGGTTCACGTTGTACTGGTTTCGGTGGTTCCGGTTGGCAACTGCTGAACGGATCTCCTACATAACCAGCTGGACACACGCAGTTCGGCACATGGTTGAGAACATTGCAGATCGCATTGAAGCCGCACGAGCCGGGACATGGGTCACGACACTTCTCATTGATGCAAGCGCGATTCGAGGGGCAATCGGAATGTACAACACACTCGGGGCGACAATTTGGCGGACTACCTACGTAGCTGGGTAGACATGAGCAAATTGCAGCACCATTGCGGCTGTGACATTGCGAGTATTGGCCGCAAGGTGACGGATTGCAGGGACTACTTGGTGGAGGGGGTGTGGCTGGTAAAACGTCTGCGATAGCTGGCGGTGGTGGGGCTAATGTTGCAGGAAAGATTTTTTTAAAATGGCGTAATGCGTAAATTTTAGTTTTACTCTTACAAGTTATTGGATAACAGCGGGTGAAAGCATCTCCGGTATAGCTTGTTCTGCACGAACAAATAGGGTTGTGATTGTAAACGCGGCATTCCGCATTCTGACCGCAGGTGCCCGGACAAGGATCAGCGCATTTACGATTTATACAGGCTTGTGTGAGCGCACATTCCGCATTAACGGTACACTCTGGACGACAGGCAGGTGGTGAGCCAACGAATTCAGGTAAGCAAGAGCAAATAGCTTGCTGGTTAACTTCGTGACATTGAGCGTTCGGGCCGCAAGGTGATGGTATGCAGGGATTTACGTAAACTGGTTCCACTAAAGATAAAAATATGAGTCATGTTAAGCCCGAGAGGTGATGGGAGCGCATTCTTTGTGCTTACATTGCTTAACAGGCGAGCATAAACTAAACGGATTGCCCGTGTAGCCATTCAAACAGTGGCAAACTGGCAGATGATTCACAACCTGGCACTCGGCGTTGCGGCCACAAGCACCCGGGCATGGATCACGACATTTGCGCTGAACGCAGGCCTTATTTGACGGGCAATCACTGTTTAGCACACACTCGGGGCGACAACCCTGGTACGGGTTACCAAAGTAGTCAGGTAGGCAGACACAAGATCCAACGTTGTTATGACGACGGCATTCTGCATTGTCTCCACAGGGGCTTGGTATGCATGGATCTACGTAGTCCGGTACAGGTGACGGTGGTGGTGGAAGTGGTAGACGGCAAATGCTAAACGGATCTCCAACGTATCCCTGCTCACAAACGCAGTTTGGTATATGGTTCAGAGCGCGACATTGCGCATTGGAGCCACACAGACCGGGACAAGGATCGCGACATTTCCGATTGATGCAGGCCTTATCAGATGGACACTCCGAGTTGGAAATACATTCGGGACGACAATTTGGTGGTGCACCTATGAATTCACTTAAGCAAGTGCAAGATGGCGCGCCATTAATATTGCTACATTGTGCGTTAGGACCGCAAGGTGATGGACGGCAGGGATCACGAGGTTCCTCATAAGATGGTGGAGCTGTGTGAAGATGCGAGTTGAAAGGGAAGGTTAAGTTTACTATTCGGGAAAGATAACCACGAATGCGATCGCAATACATACTAATGATTGGCTGACAAGCGACGAATGGACTGCCAGTGTAGCCCGCTGGACAAGAACAGATTGGATTATGACTGACTATGTTGCAGAGCGCGTTGTGGCCGCAAGCGCCCGGACAGGGGTCGCTACATTCCTGGTTGATGCAGGCGCGATTCATTGGACACTCAGAGTTGCTAACGCATTCGGGGTGGCACGCAGGCGGTGTACCAATCATATTTTGTACACAAGTGCAAATTGCTATACCATTCCTATCCTGACACTGTGAGTTGGGACCACAAGGTGACGGCTGGCATGGATGTACAGGTTCAGCTGGACGCTCGGGTACCGGCTGACACTGTACAAATGCATTACCTTGCATGCCCGCCTGACAGTGACACATAGGAACGTGGTTATGTACTTCGCAGATGGCATTCGAGGCGCAAGTTCCGGGACAAGGGTCTCGACATTTCTGATTGATACACGACATATCACGTGGGCATTCGCTATTCAAAATACATTCAGGACGGCAACCAGTGTATGGATCGCCCTGATACTCAGCGATGCAGGTGCAAATGCCATCACTGCATTGCGCGTTGGTGCCACAAGGAGACGGTATGCAAGGATCATCAGATGGCGTGGCTGTTTGCGTGGAAAAAGGTTGTAAATGTAAGTGTTGAGTTAAAAAGGAAACAAGTTTTGAGTTCTCATTACATTGTGGTGGTGGTGCTGGTTGCGCGTAACAGCTGGTGAATGGATTACCAGTGTAGCCAATGGGGCACGTGCAGGATGGTATATGGTTAAGCACATTACATTCGGCGTTCACGCCACAAGACCCAGGACATGGATCGCGACACTTCTCATTGACGCAAGCGTGGTTACTGGTACAGTCCGAGTTTACTACACATTCCGGGCGACAATTGGGTGCAGTACCGCTATAAGATGGCAGACACGAACACGTAGGTTGATCATTTGTCACGCGGCAGACGGCGTATTGACCACATGGCGAGGGTACACAGGGATCGCGATAAGGTTCGCGTGCTGGTGGTGGCGGTGGCGGTATGGGGTAGCAACGCACAAAAGCGTCACCAGTATAACCGGGCCGACAACTACAGTAGGGGTTATGCGTGCGTATGCTACACTCAGCATTCGAGCCACACGTGCCGGGACAGGGATCTTGACACTTCTTGTTTATGCACGCCTTATCGGCGGCACATTCGGAGTTCGTTGTACATTCGGGGCGACAAGAAGGCGGGTTGCCAATGAAGTCAGGTAAGCAAGAGCAGACCGCTTGTTCTTGCACTTCACGACATTGCGAATTCGGGCCACAAGGCGATGGTACGCAAGGATTTACATATTCTCTTATTGCTATTTATAATACGAAATGAAAGAAAAAGTAAATGTGCAATGAGTTTAATGTTGTGTGTGCTGTGTAATGTTTCTTTTTTTGCTACGGGAGAATTTCTAAAAGCAAGTGTTGAAAAAAATCTCTGATGCTTACGTTCTTTCGGCACGTTGCAATAGCTGTACGGATCTCCTGTATAGCCAGACAGACAAGTACAAGTAGGTAAATGATTAATCGCGTAACATTGTGCATTTTGACCGCAAACACCAGGACAAGGGTCTTGACATTTCTGATTGCGACATGCCTTATTCGATGGACAATCAGAATTTGTGGTACATTCGGGGCGACAACCGTCATAGGGATTGCCGAAATATTCGGGCAAACATTTACATGCGCCGGCGTTATTTTGTGTGGTGCAGATAGCATTACTGCCACAGGGGCTGGGTACGCACGGATTGATCTGCTCGCGTTCAACTATTGGTTCGGGGTAGCACTGCGTGAACGGATCACCCACATAACCGGCGATGCAGACACAAGAGGGCGTATGGCTAACCACATGACAGGTGGCTGATGTACCACATACACCGGGGCAAGGATCACGACACTTCATATTAATACAAGCCTGGTTGCTAGGGCATTCCGATGATGATAAGCACTCCGGGCGGCAGTTGGGTGGTGCGCCAATATAATCCGGTAGACAAGTGCATGATGGTGAGCTGTTCCTATCAGTGCATTGTGAGTTGGGACCGCACGGTGATGGTACGCAGGGGTTTGTGGGTTCTCGTTGAGGGCTCGGTGGTGGCGGCAAGAGTTGACACAAGGTATGGGCGTTGCCGGTGTAACCGCTAGGACAGCTGCAGAATGGTGCGTGATTAATGACAGAACAAATAGCGCGCACGCCACAGCTGCCTGGACAAGGATCTCGGCATTTATGGTTCACGCAGGCCATGTTCGGTGCACAGTCCGAGTTAATGCTGCATTCAGGTCGGCAGTTGGGTGGTACGCCAAAATAGTCAGGCAGGCAAGCGCACACGGCTTGCTGATTAATTTCGGTGCACTGAGAATTGGGGCCACAGGGTGAAGGCTGGCAGGTGTTCACTACCGCTGGCGTTGCTAAGACGATTCAAAATTTTAAAATTTGATTATAAAATAATTTCTTAAGCTTGAAACCTACTTTGTTGTACTATTGAGCATTGCACGAATGCGTTGCCCGTCATGCCCTCGGGGCAGTGGCACATCGGTATGTGATTGAAAACATCGCAGATGGCGCCTAGACCGCAGGTACCGGGACAAGGGTCGACACATTTATTTCTAATACAAGCCTTATCGCGCGCGCACTCCGTATTGAGTACACACTCGGGGCGACAACCAATGTAGGCATTGCCTTGATACTCGGGTAGGCAGGCGCATTCTCCATTGCTACAAACAGCATTGCTGCCGCAGGGTGACGGGTTGCAGGGATCTTTCAATTGCACTACAAGAAGTAATAATATTTTTATGTTCACCTAAGAAATTATCAAACATACATTTGATTTCGGGTGGCTTGGGCGCGCAACTTGTAAACGGGTCACCGGTATAGTCAGCTGGGCAAGTGCATATTGGCGTGTGGTTAATTACATTGCAAATCGCTGCGAAGCCGCAAGATCCTGGACAAGGATCGCGGCACTTTTCATTTATGCACGCTAAGTGCGCTGGACATTCGGCATTGATGGAACACTCGGGACGACAGCTAGGTGGCGCGCCCAAATAGTTGGGTAAACAAGAGCATGAGGCCTGACCGTTGACGTTGCGACAGATAGCGTTGCTACCACAAGGAGATGGAACACAGGGATCGCGATACTCCTCTCTAATAACCGGCACAGTTGGTGGCGCTAAAAGAAGGTGTTAGGTAAAATAAACTTTTTCGTTGGCATTAACTTTTTGTTTCTGCATCTTACGCGGTATTGGGTAACATCTAGTGAAGGCATCGCCGGTGTAACCGGCATGACAACTGCAAAGCGGGCTATGGTTACGTACGCGACATTCAGAGTGGAGACCGCAGACGCCTGGGCAAGGATCAACACACTTTTGATTGACGCACGCCTTGTCAAGCGCACATTCACTAGAAATGGTGCATTCGGGTCGACAGTCCGGTGGGCTGCCGATGAACATGGGTAAACAAGAGCAAACCGCTTGCTGCTTGACTTCTTTACACTGGGAATTTGGTCCACAAGGCGATGGTTGACAGGGATTAACGACATCGAATTTCGCTAAAAGGGTATAAAAAACTGTTGGCATATCACTTTGACTAAACATTATTTCTCTAAAATGCTTACGTTCGGTTATTACGCTGCAGTAGCTGTACGGATTGCCTGTGTAACCACTTAAGCAGTTGCAGCTTGGCAAATGGTTGCGTACATGGCAGAGGGCATTCTGGCCACAAGTACCAGGACATGGATCCTTGCATTTATTCTGCAAACAAGCTTTGTCCGTAGGACAGTCAGAGTTCACTACGCACTCGGGACGACAACCCTCATATGGATTTCCTACAAATTCAGGCAAACACTGACAGGCGCCAGCGCCGTTACGTACGATACATGCAGTGTTAGGACCACAAGGACTTGGTTGGCAAGGATTCAGCACTTCTTGTGGCACATCGCGTACGACGTCACAATAGCTGAATGGATCTCCTGTGTAGCCGTTTGTACAGATACACATCGGCGTATGATTTATGACATGACATTGTGCATTAGCGCCACATACGCCGGGACAGGGATTTTGACAGCGTTGATTTATGCATGCCTGCGAAAGCGGACACTCAGAGTTGGTTACACATTCAGGCCGGCAATTAGGCGGTGCACCAATGAACTCCTTGAGACATGAGCACGATGGACTATCGCCAACTGCGCGACATTCGGCGTTGGGACCGCAAGGCGATGGACGACAAGGATCCTTCGGGGCAACGTCCAACTGCGGTACAACTGGAAAAAGATTTATTAAGTGAGTTTCCTGCGTTCCCGTATGAATTAAGAGAAATTTACTTCGTATAGGCATGCAGGCCACAAATGGATTGCCAGAGTATGAATTGGCACATCGACAAATCGGCGCATGATTGATGACACTGCATTCCGCGTTGATACCACAAACTCCCGGACAGGGATCGCGACATTTCTGCTGCAGGCACGCACGATTTAATGCACATTCCGCATTGCTGGTACACTCCGGACGGCAGGATGGTGGAGCACTAATAAACTCAGGCAAGCACGAGCACACAGCTTGTTGATTGACAACGCGACATTGCGAATTCGGGCCACAAGGTGAGGGTTGACAAGGATTCACTTGCACTGGGGCGGGAAGTGGCTGGCATAGTGCGAATGCATTGCCAGTCATACCTTCTGGACAATGACACATTGGTATGTGGTTATGCACCTCGCAAATGGCATTCGAGGCACAAGTACCCGGGCAGGGATCTGTGCACTTCTGACGTTTGCACGCCTTGTCGAATGGGCAGTCGGTGTTTAAAACACATTCTGGACGGCAGCCTATCAACGGGTTGCCCTGATATTCCGGTATGCATTCACACTGTCCATCGCGGCATACAGTGTTGGGACCACAGGGCGAGGGATTGCATGGATCTTCTGCTAGTTTTGGTGGTGGTTGTGGTGGTGCTTGGCAAGAGACAAATGGGTCGCCTCGCAAGCCAGGTGTGCACTGACAAATAGGCGTATGATTTATAACATTACAGTTCGCATTGAAGCCGCACGCGCCGGGACAAGGGTCGCGACATTTTTCATTTATGCAAGCTTGTGCGCTGGCGCAATCTGAGTTTCTAGTACACTCCGGATGGCAGGTGGGTGGACTACCGATATAGGTGGGTAGACACGAGCACGACGGGCTGCCGTTGATATCACGACATTCGGCGAATTGACCGCAAGGCGAGGGTACGCATGGATTGCGTACTGGTTCTGGTGGGGTCGCAGCTTGTGGTGGCGCTAAGAAAAAGAGTGGAGTATTAAAATACTGCGAGACACGTTCATCTAGCTTGGGCTTACGTGGTATAGGATAACAGCGCGTGAAAGCATTGCCTGTGTAACCACTAAGGCAACTACACAGCGGTGAGTGATTGCGCACGTGACATTCTGCATTTGTGCCACAAGTACCCGGACAAGGATCCTGACATTTCTGATTGATGCACGCTTTATCGAGTGCGCATTCGGCACTCGTCGTACACTCTGGTCTGCACGCAGGCGGTGTACCAATAAATGTGGGCAGACATGAGCAAACAGCTTGATTATTCACTTCCCGACATTGGGAATTGGGTCCGCAGGGTGATGGCTGGCATGGGTTGACGTACTCTTTCATGATCGCTAAAATATAAAAACTGCTTTCACTCAGTCGTATTCGGTATGCGGTTGTTACTTACGCTTTTCCGGTAACTGACAATAGCTATAGGGATCGCCTATGAAACCATCCAAACATACACAAGAAGGCAGGTGATTGATAACGCGACATTGCGCATTTAGCGCGCAGACACCCGGGCAAGGATCGCGACATTTCTGATTCTGGCAAGATTTATCCAGCGGACAGTCCGAGTTCGTTATACATTCTGGGCGACAACCCTCATAAGGATTACCAAAGTACTGGGGCAAACACTGACATGAGCCTGCGTTATTCACTTGGCGACACTCGGCGTTAACACCACACGGGTTTGGTTCACATGGCGAGACGAAGTCCACTTGTTTTACAGGTTCCGGCATGCAGAACGAAAACGGATCGCCAGTGTAGCCAGCCGCGCAGAGACACATTGCTGTATGACTAATCACACGACACTGTGCATTCTGACCGCATAAGCCAGGGCAGGGATCGACGCATTTTTGGTTAATACAAGCCTTATCTTGACTGCATTCGCTATTTGTTACACATTCCGGATGACAGTTTGGTGGGGCGCCGATAAATTGCGGTAAGCAAGAGCAAGATGGTGCATCTCCGACAGCGCGACACTCGGAATTCGGGCCACAAGGCGACGGGTAGCATGGATCCTTGGGCGCTTCCAAACGTGGTGGCGGTTCAACTAGTGGGAGGAGATGAAAGCGAACGTTTTATGGTTTGAGCGGCGAGAAAATATTTCAGATATTTACTTATCGGTTGACAGGATACGAATGGATTTCCAGTGTGATGAACGGGACATGTACATATGGGCGCATGATTTACTACGTTACAAATCGCTTTGAAACCGCATGCGCCCGGACAAGGATCGACGCATTTTTGATTCTGGCAGGCCTTTTGTGGACCGCAATCAGAATTCCGTACACATTCCGGACGACAGCTAGGCGGATTACCGATGAAACCTTCAATGCAAGAGCAAACAGCGTTTTGATTGAATACGCGACAACGACTATTCGGACCGCATGGAGAAGGTTGGCAGGGATCAGTTACGATTTTTGCTATTGAAACAGAGAGAAAAAAAATGGGGGGCACATTTAGCCACGTCAGTTTTCTGAGAGTTGGCCGTTAATATTTACGTGGTAGTGGATCACATTGGTAGAAAGCATTTCCGGACATGCCGTCGGGACAGCGACACATAGGGACGTGATTAAGCACCTCGCAGATGGCATTGACTCCGCACGTACCGGGGCATGGATCAACACACTTATTTCTAATGCAGGCCTTGTTTTGTGGACATTCAGTGTTGAGTACGCATTCCGGCCGGCAACCGACGAGTGGGTCGCCTTGATATTCTGGTATGCAGGAACATTGACCATCGTTGCACACTGCGTTGGGTCCGCAAGGTGAAGGATTACAGGGGTCGTCTTTTACCGGTGGTTTAGCTATGATGAGCGAAAACGAAAGACATGTAATCTGGCTTTAATAGAAGTAAAAACGACGTTCGCTTACGTGGTGGTGCTGGTTGACAGTTGACGAATGGATCGCCGATATATTCACGCGGACACGAGCAAATCGGTATGTGATTTATCACGCTACATTCTGCATTGTAAGCACACGAGCCCGGACAAGGATCTGTGCAACGATTATTGATGCAAGCCAGATTCGACGAGCACTCTGAGTTCGTGACACACTCGGGCCGACAGTTTGGTGGTGATCCAAAGAACTGAGGCAGGCAAGAGCACGCCGGTTGACCGTTCGCATTTCTGCACTGCGAATTGGGGCCACATGGTGACGGCAAGCAAGGATCGCGTATTGGTTCAGCAAAAACAGTCGGTGGTGGCGCTATTCAAGTGATATGACGTTTAGAAAGAGTAATACAAAGGAGTTAATAAGCAAACTCACGAGGTATGGGATAGCAACGGGTAAACGGATCTCCAGTGTAGCCGTTTTGACAAGAGCAGAGTGGTGCGTGGTTGCGCACTTGACATTGAGCGCCGGTTCCGCAAACGCCTGGACATGGATCGGCGCACTTCTGATTAATGCACGCCTTATCGAAGCTGCACTCAGCACTAATTGTACACTCAGGTCTGCAGGCGGGTGGTGTGCCGATAAACTCCGGCAGGCAAGAGCAGACGGCTTGGCCATTTAATTCGCGGCACTGGCTATTCGGGCCGCAGGGTGTTGGTTCACATGGATTAACGTACTCTTGTAGTGGAGCTAAAATGTGGGGAAGGGAATGTTAAAATGGCACTGGGCAACAATCCTCTGAGAGTCAAAGTTTGTCTTACGTTTTTCCTCAACCGCGCAATAACGATACGGATCACCTACATAGCCAAATAAGCAGGAACATGTGGGCAAATGATTTCTGGTGAAACACTCAGCATTCAGTCCGCAAGTACCCGGGCAGGGATCGCGACATTTCTGATTGATACACGCCTTGTTCGATGGACAATCGGTGTTGAGTACGCATTCAGGACGACAACCTTCATAAGGATTGCCCAAGTATTCCGCAAGGCATTTACACGAACCCACGCCATTTTGCTGTAGACATTCGGCGAAGGGACCACATGGATTGGGGTTGCATGGATCAACAACTTCAGTGGGTTCGCGCACAATCAAAGTGCACTGCACAAATGGATCGCCAGTGTAACCGCTCTCACAGTAACACATTGATGAATGGCTTATAACACGACACAGAGCATTATTTCCGCATAGTCCGGGGCAGGGGTCGACACAACGATTATTACGGCACACATTATTCGAAGCGCATTCAGAGTTTGTTACACATTCGGGTCGACAATTCGGTGGCTGACCAAAGAAGTTCTCGAGACAGGAGCAAGACGGTGAATCGCCCACAGGTTGACAGCGACTGTTCGGACCGCAAGGTGAGGGCTGACATGGGTTGACTGGCACAACATCTCGCACTGGCTCAACTAAATTGGATAGGCGAAGGGGTAAGGGTCATAAAGGGGACTACTTCAAACAGGTGCTAAACTCACTTATCGGACGACACTGCACGAAGGGGTTTCCTGTGTAGCGTTCATTGCAAGTACAGAAGGGATTATGATTGACAACCGTGCATTTCGCATACAATCCACAAGTTCCAGGGCATGGATCCATGCAGCGTTGATTCTGGCACGCGCGGTTCGGCGCGCAATCAGAGTTCGTGGTGCATTCTGGACGGCAAGACGGCGGGCTGCCTAGGTAGTTGGGTAAACAGCTGCATACGGCTTGTGAGTTCACTTCGCGACATTGTGAGTTTGGACCGCATGGTGAGGGCTGACAAGGATTGCGGTAAGTATCAGCTGGTGGAAAGAAATAATGGTGTTGTAGTGGGGCGGTTTGAAAAAATTTATACGAAGGAAACATACTCTGTACTGCTAAGCATTGCACAAATGCATTGCCAGTCATGCGTTCGGGGCAACGGCACATGGGCACGTGATTATAAACTTCGCAAATAGCCTCCGTGCCACAAGTTCCGGGGCAGGGATCAACACATTTCTGGTGTATGCAGGCACGATCACGCTCGCACTCGGTGTTAAGTATGCACTCCGGTTTGCAGGCGACATACGGATCACCCTGGTAGTCGGCGAGACAAGCGCATTGCCCATCACCGGAACAGATTGCGTTGGCCCCACAGGGGCTAGGATTGCAAGGATCAATGGGTTCTTGTTGCGGTGGTGCTATAATTTATAGGCAAAGGTTAGGTAGTGGGGATAAGTAAATCCAAACAAAGCTTACGAGGTGGTGGCGCTGGCTGGCAAGCAACGAATGCATCGCCTATATAACCGGGTTGGCAAACGCAGTTGGGTATATGATTTACAACATTACACACAGTATTCACACCGCATGCACCTGGACAGGGGTCACGGCAACGCTCATTAATACACGCCTGACTGCTCGGGCAGTCAGAATTCATCGAACACTCGGGTCGACAGTTTGGTGGGGCGCCTATATAGTTCGGCTGGCACGTACAAGATGGCACATTGTTTTGAACGCGACAAGTGGCGTATGGGCCACATGGCGATGGCACGCAGGGATCACGATAGACATCGGCGGGTTGTGGTGGTGTTGGCGCTACGACAGAGTGGTTAGATATTGGATTTGGTAAAAATAGTTGCGCGTTAAATGCATTGCTTTGCTTACGTGGTAGTGGGTAACAACGCACGAATGGATCGCCTGTCAAGCCGGTGCGACAGGAACATATTGGACTATGATTGCGCACCTGACAAATGGCGCTTTGTCCACAAACACCCGGGCAAGGGTCGACACATTTACGATTAATACACGCCTTATCGCTGGCACATTCTGAACTGGATGTACACTCGGGTCTACAGGATGGTGGCACACCAATAAACTCACTAAGGCATGAGCAGACAGCTTGACCGTTAACTTCGCGACATTGGGAATTCGGTCCACATGGGCTGGGTTGACATGGGTTTACGTACTCTTGTACTATGGCTACATTAGTTTTTTTGTTTTTGTTATATGTACATAGATTGAAAATGAACCAAACAAAGTTACAAAGTTAGTGACTACATACAATACAATGACGACAACAACGAGCTACATGTACTGCTTGTGTAGCGGAAATAAAACCAGTGAAGACCAAAGTGCTGCTGGGAGCTGAACGAAAGTTCTTCAGTTCCAGCAGCAGACTTTCCCGTGGCTTTATCCCTCTAGCACATGTCAGTACAGTTTGTTTAAAGTAAAAATTCAAAATCGCTAGCTTACGTTCAGCTGGTCTTGTACAATAGCGGTACGGATCTCCGGTGTAACCCACGTAGCAGTTGCAAGTTGGTATATGATTGACGACATTACATTCGGCATTCTGTCCACAGGTACCTGGACACGGATCACGACATTTTTGATTCTGACACGCTTTGTTCGAGGGGCAGTCCGAATTAAGCACGCACTCTGGACGGCAGCCCTCATAGGGATTACCATAATATTCAGACAGGCATTGGCAAGCGCCCGCGCCATTACGTTCGAGGCAGTTTGCGTTGGCGCCGCAAGGCGATGGCGAACATGGATTGAGTACTTCAATAGGCGCGGAAATACGTACTGGCTGACAAAGCGTGAACGGATCACCTGTGAAGCCAGGTAAGCAAATGCAGCGCGGTGTATGCGATACGACGTGACATTCAGCACTAGAGCCACACAGGCCTGGGCAAGGATCTTTACATTTCTGATTGATGCAGGCCTTCGTTGAGGGACACTCCGAGTTCGAGACACATTCTGGCTTGCAGTACGGTGGTGTGCCTATGAAGTTGGCTAGACAACTGCACGATGGTGTGTCGCCCACTGAACGACATTCTGAATTGGGTCCACAAGGTGAGGGTTGGCAAGGATTGGTTGGTGAGACGTCCAGCTGCGGTTGTTCGATGATGCGTTGGCAGGCGACAAATGGATTACCTGTATATTGCGGTAGACACGTGCAGAAAGGATTGTGATTGACGGTGTTGCACTGTGCGTTACGTCCGCAACTGCCAGGGCAAGGGTCAACACATTTCTGATTTACACATGCCAAGTTGGCCGCACACTCCTGATTAGCAGTACACTCGGGACGGCAGCTTGGAGGAGCGCCTATGTAGCCTGGTATGCAGGAGCAGACAGCCTGCTCATTCACTTCACGGCATTGTGAATTAGGACCGCAGGGAGAGGGCTGACAAGGGTTGACCTTAGCGGGTGCTGTAAGTTGAAGGTAAGGGAGTATGTGGAAAGTTCTTATGGTAGAGCGTAGAGAAAATAATATTTACGTGGTATCGGCGAGCATTGGATAAACGCGTTGCCCGACATGCCGTTTGGACACGAACAGATTGGTATATGATTGATGACGCTACAAAGAGCATTTGAAGCACACGTGCCTGGGCAAGGATCGACACATTTATTGCGTATGCAGGCACGGTCGCGTGGACAATCGGTGCTGAGAACACATTCGGGGCGACAGCCGTTGTAAGGATCGCCCTGGTATTCCGGTAGACATGTACAAATGCCATCCTTGCATTGGGCATTTGAACCGCAGGGTGAGGGATTGCAGGGATCATCTTTGGCAGGCGCTAAATGAATAATGAGAGTGGATAATTAGAAGGGTAACTATAGGGGCAACTTTTTTCGGAGGCTTACGCTTTGGCGGTGGTTCTGGCAGACAATAAGTAAAGGGATCGCCAGTATATCCCGTGGGACAGACACAGCTCGGCGTGTGATTGATAACATTACAGATAGCGCCTAAACCGCAAGAGCCGGGACAAGGATCGCGACATTTTTCGTTGATACACGCTTGGTTGCTTGGACACTCCGCGTTGATAGTACACTCCGGGCGGCAATTTGGTGGCGCCCCAATGTAGTTAGGAAGGCAAGAGCACGATGGCGAATCACCAATTCGACGACATTGCGAATGCGGACCACATGGTGAGGGCACGCAAGGATCAATGGGCTGACGTTGCACTGGTGCTGGTGGTTTGGCTGCAGTAGAAAATGTAAATATATCTCCATTTTCTAGACAACAATCAAAGCTTTATCTTACGTGGTATAGCAAAACAACGCGAGAAAGCATCTCCAGTGTAACCTGCGCGGCAAGAACATAGAGGACTGTGGTTATGTACGCGACAATTGGCATTCTGACCGCATGTGCCCGGGCAGGGATCGACGCATTTCTGATTGATACACGCCCGGTCCAATGCGCACTCGGTCGAGATGGTGCACTCAGGGCGGCAAAGTGGCGGACTGCCAATGTATTCGGGGAGGCATGAACATACAGGCTGTTCGTTTATTTCACGGCACTGCGAATTGGGGCCACACGGCGAAGGTTGACACGGGTTGACATATTCCTTGATAGCTGTTGTAAGATAATTTTCTATATTTATTGGAACTAAGCTTTATATTTTACACTTTGGCTTACGTTGTTTCTCGATTTGACAAGCGCGGTATGGATCACCACTATAGCCCGACAGACAACTGCATGTTGGCACGTGGTTCAACACCGCACAGTTGGCATTTTGTCCACAGGTGCCGGGGCATGGGTCGCGGCACTTCATGTTCTGACAGGCCTTGTTGGATGGACAATCGGAATTGAGCATGCACTCGGGCCTACAGCCTTCATATGGATTACCAAAATATTCAGGTAGACATTGGCATGAGCCGGCATCATTGCGTTGCACGCAACGCGCATTCGGACCGCATGGACTTGGATTGCAAGGATCGATATGATCAAGTTGTGGGATTTTCACTTCCACACATTGTACGAATGGATCTCCTTCCAAGCCGGCGGGACAATAGCAGCTTGGTGTGTGTGAAAGTACACGGCAGAGAGCGCTATTGCCACACAAACCGGGACAGGGATCTTTGCATTTCTGATTAATACAGGCCAAGTTTGTAGCACATTCTGAGCTAGTCACGCATTCGGGTCGGCAATTGGGTGGCGCGCCGCTGTAATCAGGCAAGCAAGTGCACGAAGGCTGCTCACCCACCACACGACATTCTGAATACGGACCGCATGGTGATGGTACACAAGGCTGACTAGGCGGACGAGGTGCCGGTGATTCTAAAATTTGTTGGCAGCTGATAAATGGATTACCCGAATATCTATCGGGGCAGCGACAGAACGGACTATGATTAGTGACATGGCACAGCGCATTGTTGCCGCAAACGCCTGGGCAAGGATCGTTGCATTTCTGATTGAGACAGGCTTGATTGAGCGGGCACTCGGAATTGGTTGTGCATTCCGGCCGACAGAAGGGTGGACTGCCGATGAAGGATGCGATACAGGAACAAACGGCTTGCTGGTTAACCTCACGACACTGGCTATTCGGACCGCAAGGTGTTGGTTGACAAGGATGCTGCGGTACATCCAACTCTGTAAAAGTGTGATATATAGGAATTGTGCAAGAAGCGCTTGTACGACTCGTGATCTTACTCGGTGTTGGTGTGCATTGTACAAAAGCATTGCCTTCCATACCGTCCGGACAACGGCAAATGGGTATATGGTTCATAACCTCGCATATGGCATTGGAAGCGCATGTACCGGGGCAGGGATCAATGCATTTATGGCGTACGCAGGCACGATCTCGAGCGCAATCGGTGTGAAGCACACACTCTGGACGGCATCCTGTGTAGGGATCACCCTGATACTCCGGTATGCATGTGCATTGGCCGTTGTTACATTGCGAATTTGGACCGCAGGGTGATGGCACGCACGGATCGTCTTGGGGCACAACTTCGACTGTGCGAAAAAATAAGTAAGTACTAAATATGAATGCTTTCAAACTGACTTCTAACTTACTTCGCGGTGGTGGTAGCGGATTGCAGATGGTGAAAGGATCGCCAGTGTAGCCGATCTGGCACGTGCATATTGGTGTGTGATTTATAACGTTACACAATGCGCTGAGGCCGCAAGAACCTGGGCAGGGATCGCGACATTTCTGATTGATACATGCCTGATGACTGGGACATTCCGAGTTGAGACTGCATTCGGGACGACAGGCTGGTGGCGTACCAAGGTAGTTCGGCAGGCAAGAACAGGAGGGTGTGCCATGCGCGTCGCGACACTGTGAGTTGGGACCACACGGTGAGGGTACGCAGGGATCTTGTGGTTCACGTTGTGGTGGTGGCGGTGATGGTGGTGCTATTAGTAGATAATATGATGAGGTCAGACTTTATTTACTAAAGCGTTCAAACGAGGAAGATCTTACTTATAATACGGAAACAGCGCGTGAACGCATCGCCAGTGAAGCCATTGTTGCAAGTACAGATGGGACTGTGATTCCTAACACGACATTCAGCATTCTGCCCGCAGACACCCGGGCAAGGATTAACACATTTCCTATTAATGCATGCCTTATCGGAGGCACAATCAGAGCTTGATGTGCATTCCGGTCGACAAGCAGGTGGACTGCCGACGTACTCAGGTAGGCAAGAACAAACGCCTTGACCGTTAACTTCGCGACATTGGGAGTTGGGCCCACAAGGCGACGGTTGACAGGGATTAACGTAAACTCTGGCCGCTATAATTACGAATGTGGTTTATTAAATATTTGTTGCCACAGTTAACTCTATAGTATGCTTACGTTCTTCTTGCACAACTTGACACAGTCGATATGGATCACCAATGTAGCCGGCATAGCATTCACACGAAGGTACATGGTTGATAACCTGGCATATTGCATTCGTACCACAAGTACCTGGGCATGGATCGACGCATTTCTGATTTTGACAAGCCTTGTTCGATGGACAATCTGTGTTGAGCACACATTCTGGACGACAGCCTTCATATGGGTTACCAAAGTATTCGGGTAAGCACTGACAAGAACCGGCGCCATCGCGTTCTTCGCATTTAGCATTGGCGCCACATGGACTGGGATTGCATGGCCTTAATACTTCAATTGGCGCAGCTTGCACTGGGTTACATTGCGAGAATGGATCGCCAGTGAAACCGACTGCACACAGACACATTGGTGTGTGACTGAAGACGCGACAATTGGCATTCAGGCCACACAAACCAGGACATGGGTCTTTACACTTTTGGTTTATGCAGGCTTGCGTCGATGGACACTCTGAGTTCGAAACACATTCGGGACGACAGTTTGGCGGCGAGCCTGTAAAATCTGGCAGACATGAGCATGACGGCGAGTCACCCGTTACGCGGCACTCGGAGTTCGGACCACAGGGCGAGGGAATGCATGGATTGGCAGGTGTGACATCAGCAATGGGAGTAACTATTGTGGGAAATTCCAAAGAAGTTTAACAAAAGAAAAACAAAAATTCGTGACAACTCTTACTTATCTGCTGGCAGCGTACAAATGGATCTCCAGTCATTTGATCGCGACATATGCAGAATGGATTGTGATTGACGACATTGCATACGGCATTGAAACCACATGTGCCTGGACATGGATCGCGACACTTAGAGTTCTGACAAGCCTGATCTGGCGGACAATCGGAGTTTGTTGTACATTCCGGACGACATTGCGGTGGACTACCTATAAAGCTCGGTAGACAAGAGCAGACGCCTACGTTTTGTACCTCACGACACTGGCTATTAGGGCCACAAGGCGATGGTTGACATGGATTTCTCAAAATTGGCGCTGAAGTATGGAAATAAGGAGCAAATTTGAAAATGTTTGGCAATAAATAAATCTCGGTCTTACTTTCGTTGACGCGACATTCAAAGAACGCGTTGCCCGACATATTATCCGGACAATGGCACATGGGTACGTGATTGTTGACAACGCAAATCGCATTCGTGCCACAAGTGCCGGGACAAGGATCGATGCATTTGTTGCGAACACAGGCGCGATCACGCGCACAATCTGAATTGAGAACACATTCTGGACGGCAACCTACAAAAGGATCACCCTGATATTCAGGTATACAAGTGCATTGGCCATTGTTACATTGTGCATTCGGGCCGCACGGTGATGGCACGCACGGATCGTCGTGCACTGGTGGTTGAGTAGCTGTTGGAAGAAGAGGAAAACCAGAGTTTGAGGATCGCGCTGCATTTGCATGCTTCATTGAATTGAGGTCTTACGTGCTGGTGGTTTCGGATTGCAGCTGATGAACGGATTGCCTACGTAATTGTCTATGCACAGGCATGTCGGCGTATGATTGATTACACGGCATACTGTGTTTTGGCCACAAGCGCCTGGACAGGGATCGCGACATTTCTGATTGATACAAGCCTGCTGACTGGGGCACTCCGCATTGATGGTGCACTCTGGGCGGCAGTTGGGTGGCTGACCGATGAACGTCGCCAAGCAAGAGCAAGATGGTACGCCATTTACATTACGACATTCTGCGTTGGGGCCACAAGGTGAGGGTAGGCAAGGGTCACGATATTCTTCGCGTTCAATTTCGATAGGTGGCGCTAAATACGAAAGAAATTTGCGGTCAGCATGAGAGAATATGGCTTGTGCCGTGTCTATTAGCTCACGTGGTATAGGGTAGCATCTTGTAAATGCATCGCCGGTGAATCCATTGTTGCAGGTACAAATCGGGCTGTGATTTCTAACGCGGCATTGTGCATTGCTGCCACATGGATCGGCTGCGCATGGGTCCGCGCATTTCTGATTTATGCAAGCCTTATCGGTGGCACATTCAGAAGAAATGGTGCATTCGGGGCGACATGCTGGTGGCGTACCTATAAATTCCGGCAGGCAAGAGCAGACAGCCTGTTCATTAGCTTCGCGACACTGAGAATTAGGACCACAGGGCGAGGGTTGGCAGGGATTGACGTACTCGGTGCGCATGGCTGTGGTAGCGAGGGTACATTAAAATTAGTTAGAATTGTTAGCAAAGTGTACGGGAAAACATTCTTACGTTCAACAGGACGCGTGCAAATACGATATGGGTCACCGATGTAGCCAGTAATGCAAGTACAAGATGGCAAATGGTTGACCACTTGGCAATCGGCATTCTGACCACACGTGCCCGGACAAGGATCCTGACACTTTTGTTGCTGGCACGCCTTATTCGACGGACAGTCTGAATCCATTACACATTCAGGGCGACAGCCCTCGTAGGGGTTACCAAAGTATTCGGGCAAACATGTGCATGAACCAGCGCCGTTGCGCTCGCGACATACTGCATTGGGGCCACACGGACTCGGACTACAAGGTGTGCGTATTTCAACAACGTCACGTTCTGGCGGCAGGCTACATTGCACGAATGGATCGCCTGTGTAACCAACCACACAATTGCACTGAACTGCATGGCTGACCACACGGCATTCTGCATTCAAGCCACAGCGTCCAGGGCAAGGATCAACACATTTCTGATTGATACATGCCAAAGAGCTGGCGCAGTCTGAACTTGTGACGCATTCAGGACGACAATTTGGCGGACGCCCTATATATGACTCGAGGCAGGAACATGATGGCGCTTCCCCAATAGGACGACACTGTGAGTATGGACCGCAAGGCGATGGATGGCAAGGATCTGTTGGTGTGATGTCGCGGGGTGGTTCGACTGTGTAAAAAAATTAAACTCAGTTGTAGACTTATTCCAGAGATGTAATAGGAAAGCATTTTCTTACTAATCGGTTGGCAGCGTATGAAGGGGTTGCCACTGAAACGCGGCGGACAGGTGCAGAAGGGACTGTGATTGACGACAGTGCATTTGGCGCCAATGCCGCAAGTACCGGGACATGGGTCACCGCACTTCTGGTTCAGGCAAGCCTGTGTAGGCGCACAATCAGAATTCGACACACATTCAGGACGGCAAGTTGGCGGACTACCCATGAAGTTGGGCAGGCAGGAACAGACGGCTTGTTGGTTGACTTCGCGGCATTGAGAGTTCGGACCGCAAGGTGAGGGTTGGCATGGATTTGTGGCTATAATTTCTGGTAAAGACGTACACAAGTTATAAGTACCTTTAGGTGGGGCTAAATGAAAGTACGCGAGCTTACTTGGTGCCGGACTGCAACGGATGAAGGCACTACCGACCGTACCGTCTGGACACCTGCACATGGGTATATGGTTTATGACGTCACAAATGGCGTTTTCGCCGCATGTGCCGGGACAGGGATTAGCGCATTTGCTGCGCAAGCATGCCTTATCGCGCGGACAGTCTGTATTCAAAACACATTCGGGACGACAACCTGTGTACGGATCACCCTGGTATTCGGGCAGACATGTGCAAATGCCGTTATTGCATTGAGCATTTGCGCCACAAGGCGACGGATGACAAGGATCGGTGGGTTCATCTGAGTAACGAAAAATTGTTTTTTGTAATGTAACCGTGAAGAATGGTTTTGGGTAAAACTTTGCTTACTAATGATAGGTTCTGGTGGCTGCGGACGACAATTGGTGAAGGGATCGCCGGTATAGCCATCGGGACACGTACAAATGGGTGTGTGATTGACGACACTACACTCCGCGGAAAAGCCGCAAGAGCCAGGGCAAGGATCGATGCATTTTTCGCGTATGCAAGCCTTGTTCGATGAACACTCAGCGCTTATGGTACATTCCGGATGGCAGTTGGGTGGCGCGCCAATGTAACTCTGCAAACAGGAACAAGATGGGACACCGTTGATGTTGCGGCACTCGCTGTGTGGCCCACAAGGCGAGGGTACGCAAGGATCACGTTCAATATACGAAATTGCTGGTGGCGCAGCTAGAGTTTGAGGAAAATAAAAATAAGCGGTTTTCTTTGTTGTTAAGGGACTGCAGTAACGCTTACGTGGTATGGGATAGCAACGCGTGAAAGCATCGCCAGTAAAACCGTTACGGCACTGACATAAAGGACTGTGATTACGCACGCGGCACTCGGCGTTCGTGCCACACGTGCCGGGACAAGGATCTTGACAATGTTGATTGATGCACGCCTTATCGTAGGGGCACTCAGTGCTAAGTACACATTCCGGCCGGCAATTCGGCGGTACACCGACATAACGCTCCAAACACGAACACACCGCCTGACCGTTGAGTTCACGACACTGCGAGTTGGGACCACATGGCGAGGGCTGGCAAGGATTGGTTGGTGGCGCTTGACGAATAGCTGATAGATTTCAAACAGGAAAGAGAATAAAGAGCGAAAAAGGAAGATGAGCACATTGGTAATTAGGTACGTAGACGCTGCTAAGCTATGCTTACGTGCTGCTGGCTCCACATGACAATAACGATACGGATCGCCCGTATAACCGATGTGACACGTACAAGTTGGCACGTGATTTGTGACGCTACAATCAGCGTTCGTGCCACACGTACCCGGACAGGGATCGCGACATTTCTGCTGAGTGCACGCTTGCGTAGTGGGACAATCCGAGTTACGCAAACATTCGGGGCGACACGATTGATATGGGTCACCAAAGTAGTCGGCTAAACACTGGCACGAGCCAATGCCGTTACGATCGCGACAAATGGCATTCGAGCCGCACGGATTGGGCTCGCACGGCGTAACTTGCTCGTGTACAATACGCTCTGTGGGAGAGAGAGAGAAAGATGCGAAAAGAGAAAAAGTTAGAGAGGATTGACAAGTGCAATGACATTAGTAAAGTCAACACACCTTTTACGATTGAGTTGAGCAGCATTTTGTGATTTTTATTTTTATCTTTTGCTTTTTGGGTTAAAATCCAATTTGTGTAGTTTTAGTAGAGCTTATTGCACTTTTGCGTTTTACAAAAAACAGCAGTGGGATTAGAGCACATTAGTTGATTATTTCCTATTTGGTTTTTCCAACACACACACACTATGACAACAACAACAACAATAAATATACGTACGAGTACGTATAAATATACGTAGTGTACGTAAATGTGGTTACGTTGGTTACGGTGATTACGTGTAATGGTTAACTCAGCACGTTTAAAAAATTTAATAGTTAGATAATACATAATTTGCGGTGCACTTACGAGTACGAGTATAACGGTTGCACTTAAGTTAAGTTACGGTTTATGCGAGTATACGGTGCAACCCTGCGTTTGTGTGAGATTTTTTTTGTTTACTAAAACTGGAGTTTTGGCTTTTTTGGTTAAATTGCTAGTTGCTAGTGTTTGTTTAAGTGTAAAATGGCGAGCGTGTGAGTGCAAATGAATGTGCGCGCGTCTACTTTAGCGATTTGTTACTGTAAAAAATTTCGAGAATTGCTTAACGAAATTTTCAGTGTATTTTTGTTTTTTTTTTCTTGCAATAAAACGCAATTGTTTTTAGTTTCCAATTTCAAAATTTTTTATTAGATATATTATTTGCTTAAATAATTTTGAGTCTTTTTATTTAGTAGAGCTTTACTTAGACTAACTTAAATAGTTAACTTTGTTAAGGGTTAAAAATACAATACTTCCAGCGTTGAGTCATTCTGATTGCAAAAAAGCGACGTTGAGCAGACAACAAATTTTAGGGCCGTTGACAAATTTTATAAAACCAGCAAATACCGAATTGTTTTCAATTAGGGGTTTCAAGGCATTTCTGGTTAGATTTGGCGGTTAGAGGGCAGGCGGTATGCAATAAAACACAAAAAAAAAACACCAACGCAGTACTTTGACGCACTTCAAAGGTTTAGTATGCGGCAGGTATTTCGCTAAGTGTAACAAATTGTAGCGTTTGTGGTAGTGTGTAGGGGTATTAGGGACAGCAATTTGTTTAGTTTTGTTTTGGTGTTGTAATAAGCGTTTCAAATTCCTTTGTTTTTTTTTTTAGTATTTAAAGGCAGTCCGATTTAATTTTTTGTTTGTTTTTTTGAACAGACTTGAGGGTTAAAGTGTAAATGCAATTCAGGGCCGACTAGCAGTTAGCTTGGTTTTAGGGGCTCTTATTCTAATGATTATTATTTGAAATAAGCGTTTAATTTTATTTCTTCGCATTTGCAACTTTCTTACAGCTACAAAAACAACCTATGCATGTAAAATTTCCAACAACAAAGCGTATTATTGTTTTCAATACGGCAGCGTTAAGGTTTGTATAACCTAGGAGGCGAGGCGGTAAATAAGGCGTTTTTTATTTGAGGCAAGTAAAGCGTTTAGCAAGTTGACATCATGGATAAATAATAAGCATTATATGTTGGTTAAAATTTCAATTTTAATATAATAAAAACAATGCCTTTTACAGCTGCCACACACCTTCAAAGACTAAACAAATTCGGACAGTTCGTACGAGATTTGCGCCAATTGAAGTTTGCATTTTGCGGATGAGGTGCCATGTACACAAATATGTCGTGAGCGTGGTGAGTACAAAAAAAAAATATATATATAACAATAAAAAAATTTAAAATTCTCAAAATTTAAGAAATTAAAAACATTAAAAAATTATTCAGAACAAATAAAAAAATTAATTTAAAATTAAAAAATCTAAAAACATTCAATGTAAAAAACCCAAAATAGGAATAAACTAAAATAACTAAGTATTGAAAACTAATTAAGAAAATTACAAAATTCTCAAAGTAATATAAAAAAGTTAAATTGAAAAAATTGTAAAATTATAAAAAAATAAGAAAACTATTTTTCTGTGGAAGATAAGCTAATAAAACATTAATTACAATCAAAAATGATAATGAAAACGAATAAATCATAATCATAAAAAACTTAAATAAAATGAAAAAACTTATTAAGTAAAAAAATTTATATTTCATAAAAAATTAAAGCCAAAAATCTCAAAATTTTAAAACATACCAACATATAACACATACAAAATATTTAAAATGTGCGTACACGAATTTTTGCACCTTGTTTTTTTTTCCCATTGCAATGCATTGTGTTTGACAGTGTAAAAAACATAATTTTTATTTGCTTGTGTTAAAGTGAATAATAAATAATTATAATAATAACAAATTAGAACAGTTGTGGTGCGTGCGCGATTTGTAACATAGTAACATTTATTTTGTGAACGTACATATACATATATGTAGTGAAACAATAAACAAACCTTTATTGTATGTGTGTGCAACAAAAATACAGACACATATACAAACTTAAAAAATAAACTGTGTATCGTGACAGCAAAATTCAATAAATATAAAATTCTTTAAAAGATATTCAAAAAAAAAACATAGATAGCACGAAGTTAACCGTTTGTCAACATATGATGGGGTTCTTATAGACGCGCCCAAAATAGGTTATGGCGACTGTTCCCAAAAAAAATTTCACATTTTGTGGTGGTGTTCGCTATTAGTCGTAGACAATGTAATAGGATAGTCTTAGTTGCACTGGACCTTTCGAAAGCATGCTACTCGGGCGACCGTCATGGTGTTACTTAAATGCATTGAAAAATCTTTCTTTCCCCCTCAATGAAAGGATTGCTTAGTTCCCTACGTAGTGGTTGACTCTTTCGACAGGTTGAGAAGATATAGCAATTTGGAACGAATTTGATCCAAATCAAAATATTTATCGACTTTTCTACAACAAAACTCCCTCCTCTATCGATCTCAGAGCAGCTCGATTTTATTGTCGTTCAATAACATTAATGACTTAGGTACATAACGAGCCCTAAGGCATATCAATGCCGTACGGGTAGTTCTGCATCACAGAGCGAATTTTGAAAACAAAAAGCCGCTTAAGTTTCCTCCACAGTTAAGGCTTGGTATGTTGCAATTTGAAAAATAATTAGGGTACTCACAGTTTACTTCTAAAGTTAAAAGGTGGCAACTTTAACAAGATAACACACTCGAACTGTGAGCAACCCTTATGTTTAAATAAAGTATTAAGTTGATCAACAATACCACGCATTGCTAGACCGTTTGCCTTTCACGCGTTTGTGTTTAGAGAGCATCAACAAACCACATACATATTTCTCTCTATTCTCTCTTCTCTTTTTTATACTCAGCTAGCACAGCGCAAAAATTAAAAAAAAAAATAACCTTTGCCAGCTCCAGGCAGGCGCAAAGAGAAACTTATGTACAAGCAGCGCTGCGCCCAAAGCGAAATTCATGTATGTATGTACAAGCAGCGATAGATGCCAGTTTAACACAGAACATAAACATGAGACAAAGTCTAGCAATTTTGCCCAAAAGTGTTATCTCTAATTAGTATGGGAATCAACAACAAACAAAGTTACCACATGGTAAAATGTTTTAAAGTTACCAGGTGGCAAAATTAACACAGTAGATAATATAGAACTGTGAGTACCCTAAATATTTCAAAACTTTTCAGTTCCTTCAAAACTCGGAGCTTAACACTTTCACTCAATCCATCAGTAGTAACTCCATTTACAAACTGGACGTAGAAGGTCAAACTGAAGTTAGGTATTCGAATTTTGTTTTGCTTCGAAACATTCGAAGTTAATTCTCCTGACGGATTCGGGCAACAAAGTGGACAGACCGGGGAAAGTTACAGAACCGGAAGCTAAATATAAAAAACCCTAATTCGTATTCAATGCCAGTAAGGGTGGCATAAGGGCAGTACCAATAGACGCATGACCATCTACTGCACGCTGCAGGTAAAAAAGGAAAACTTGGGAATAAGAAGCCTGATGCGCTAGCTAAAGTATTGGCAAGACTCTCAAATATGTTCATCCCTCTGTCTTAGCTATCTCTAAACAAAACTAGTTGATTTATTTAACCCTTTCAGGACCAAGGAAAACATATTTCCTAAAAATTTAGTCCATTTATTAATGGATATTGTGTGAGTTTTCAGTAGTATTTTAAATTTTTAAATGTGCTTAATTCAGCTGGTTAGAAAGTTAGAAAGTTTAGAAAAAAAATGAATTTTTCAAAACAAGGGTTTTTTTTGGAAATTTTATTTAAAAAAAGTTTACTTTTGCGATATTAACATAATTTGGGAAAAAACTTAAAAAAAGTTACCAAATATTAGAAACTAAAATTTTGTTTGGAGAAAAAAATTATTTTTACGGTAAATTTATGTTGGGAAAAATTATCTTTGATAATAAGTTTAAAAAATAAAAATTTTTTAGGATACAAATATAAAGGGAACATGAAGGTAGTTCTTAGATTTTTTTTGGAAATTTCATTTCAAGAAAAAATAACAGGAAAATACAGTTTTTTAGGAAAGAAATCTGTTTACCCAAATTGAAAAAAAATACCAAACATTAGAAACTAGAATGTTTTGAAAAAAAAAATATTATTACGGTAAATCTATGTCGAGAAAAACTATGTTATTTTAAGATTTTTTATGATAAAATTATTTGTTAAGAAAATAATGTCAACAAAAATTATGAAAACTGTTTTCCCAAAAAAATTACTTCTTTGAAGAAAAACAGCACATATGTATTTGAAAAACAAATTGGGAAAACACGTAAAAAAATTAAAAAAAGTCTTAAAAATAGTTTTTGAAAAAATTATTTTATAGAAAAAAATGACGTGATGAACGAAAATAAAATTTTGGAATAAAATACTTAGAAAATAATTAGCTTTTAGTTGAAATTAATGACAATTTTTAGGAAATATTTGTGTTTAATTTTTAGTTATGCAATTTTTTTAGCCTTCAATTTATAACATTTTAAAACTAAGTTGAGCTTTTTTTATTATAGGCTTATGGTCTTGAGCGGGTTAAGGGAATCTGTCTAACACCGCAAGCGCGCTATGGTGGATATCCGAGAGCCCTTTCTGTGTCAATGTCCAACATTCGCAATTTAGCCTCCCCGGCCCCTCTCATCTGTGGAGGATATACATATATAGCTAACCAAGGTAACCTAACGTTCCCACTACAAACAAATTTATATTTATTTATTTTTGGATACGGGCTGTCACTTCAAAACTTTAGACTTTTTTTGCTGTCCAGGGGTCCAGAGTATACCAATCAGAAAGCGAAACCTATCTTCAACCATTAGGACTGTGAAACTTCCTCGGGATATGAAAGATTTTTCAGGTCAAAATCAGGATCAAAATTTTAACTGTCTAACAAACTTATTGCTACCGAGATCGTAAACGGTTAACTTTGTTAAATGAAACGAAAAAAATTAATTTAATTACTACGGAATCAAAAAAAAAAAAACACTTAAAAATATCAGTCTAAACAAAGAAAAATTGTTAAAAGCAATCTTTGGCAAATAGAAGATCAGAAATTGTTTTATTAAAAGTTTCAACACATTAAATTACTTGATTTCTCGCGGTGCAATTGCTAACCGTGCAAGTACACATACATACACATAAAACCAATTTTAATCTGTTCCAATTTGTTAAAAAATTAAGGATGATCAATTCTGGGGTGGAATTTTGAAGATGCCGATTTTTTTTTTTTTTTTAATTAAAAATGGAGTCAATATCTATGTTTTGAAGGAATACCCAATTTGTTTCATATATAAATGTTTGCGGCATCCCTCATTCCACGCACAGAATTTCCCATTCAGGTAACAACCGTTTTCCAATGCTTTAATGAATATAAGAGTAGCATTTTATTTTATTTTTATAAAAGCGCCCAACTTCGTTGATTAAAAAGCTAATTGATTTGTGATTTTTAACGGTTGTGCCTGCAGCATTTTCATATAAAATAAAGAGAAAATTGCGGTCCTACCTTGTACTGGTTGACAGCCGGTGAATGGATCACCGGTATATCCCACTTCACAGGTGCAGATGGGCATGTGATTGGCCACATTGCATCGCGCATTGAAGCCGCAAGAGCCAACACATGGATCTTCACATTTCTGGCGTATACATGCCTTCGTAGATGGGCATTCCGGATTGATGGTACATTCTGGTCGACAATTAGGTGGTTTACCCAAGAAGCTGACGGCGCACGAGCAAGCGTAGCTGTCACCGACCACTTTACATTCAGAGTTCGGTCCACATGGTGATGGCACGCAAGGATTCGCATTTGGTGTCTTTTCGATGACACGTTCTTCGACGTAGCAACGCGTAAACGGATCACCTGTGTAGCCGGCGTTGCAAGTGCAGATCGGATTGTGGTTGATCACTTGACATTTGGCAAATTGACCGCATGCGCCCGGACAGGGATCTACGCATTTCTTTTGTATACACGCTGTTTGCAGCGAACATTCGGAGCTGACTATGCACTCTGGTTTGCAGGCCGGTGGTGAACCCAGCATGCCTGGTTGACAGGCGCAGACAGCGCCTTGTGCGCTAGCTTGGCATACGCTGTTGGGTCCGCAAGGACTGGGCTGGCATGGATCTTTCGGTGTTGGTTCACGTTGTACTTCGGGATGACAATTGATGAATGGATCGCCGGTGTAACCCTTTGGGCAACTGCAGATCGGAATGTGATTGCTGACGTCGCACTGCGCATTCTGGCCGCAAGTTCCCGGACATGGATCTACACACTTCTTGTTGAGGCAGGTCTTGTGCGGCGAACAGTCGGTACTGAGCGTGCACTCAGGTCGACAGCCTACGTACGGATCTCCTTGATAATCGCGCAAGCATGTGCAGATGCCATTATCGCATTCGGCATTAGCGCCACAGGGTTGCAGATCGCAGGGATCGGCTGATACAGTCGGTGGTGTTTTGACTTCGATGATTTCCACGCATTGCGAGAATGGATCGCCAGTAAAGCCACTGCGGCAAGTACAAATTGCCAGGTGGTTCTGTATGCGACACTCGGAATTGATGCCACATGTGCCTTCACATGGATTGCGGCATTTTTCAGCTATGCAGGACCTCTCCGGAGAACAATCAGTGTTGACGACGCATTCCGGGCGACAGTTGGGTGGCGCGCCGATATAGTTGGGCAGGCACGAGCAGGACGGTTGATCGCCGCTGACACGGCACTCAGCGTAGAGGCCGCAAGGTGAGGGGAAGCATGGATTTTTCGGTGTCTTAGGTTCGTCTCTGGGCGCAGGTGGTGGTGCTGGATAGCAGCGCGAAAATGGATCGCCAGTCATATCTAGCGGACAACTGCATATCGGATTGTGGTTGATGACTTCACATTTCGCCTCCACACCGCATGTACCGGCGCAAGGATTAGCGCATCTGAAGTTATGACAGGCCTTATTCTGTGGACATTCCGTGTTGACGGTGCACTCTGGCTTACAATTGGGTGGCGCACCAATAAAGTTGTCTAAGCATGAGCAAACAGCAAGACCATTTGCTTCACGACATTTACTATTTGGCCCACAAGGTGATGGCTGACATGGATTGCCTTGTGGTGGTGGTTGTGGTGGCGCAACTTGACGTTGGCAGTTTGAGAATGGATCTCCGGTATAGCCGTCATTGCACACACAGTTCGGCACGTGATTAACCGCATAACATTGCGCTTTTGAGCCACAAATGCCAGGGCATGGATCCTTACATTTATTGCGTATGCAGGCCTTGTCCGTCGGACAGTCAGAGCTGAGCACACATTCTGGCCGACACCCATCGTAGGGATTGCCTTGGTAGTCGTCGATACATTTGCATGAAGCCGCACCATTACGTTCAATACATTCGGCGTTCGGACCGCAGGGCGATGGTTCGCATGGTTTGACAGGCTCTTCAATAGCTGGCACACATTGCACGAAGGCATTGCCGGCAAAGCCTTCAGGACACGAACAGGAAACTGTGTGACTAATCACGCGACACTCAGAATTTGTGCCACACGAGCCTGGACAAGGATCGCGACACTTGTTGTTGATGCATGCTTGGCTCGACGGGCAGTCTGGATTGATAATGCACTCTGGACGGCAATTTGGTGGCGAACCAAAGAACTCTGGCAAGCACTGACAGGATGGCCCGTTGGCGCTGGCTTTGCAAATCGAGTTAGGACCACAAACATTAGGCACACATGGATCGCGCGGTATGCCAGGGTCACGTTCTCGCGGCGGTTCTGGTGGTGGTATATCCAGACAGCGTTTAAATGGATCGCCAGTTTTTCCAGGCGGACAACCGCAAATAGGACTGTGATTAATAACTTCACAACGTGCTTCAATACCGCATGCGCCTGCGCAAGGGTCTGTACATTTTCGGTTAACGCAAGCTTGCAATGCCGAGCATTCACTAGACACAACACATTCTGGACGGCATTGTGGTGGACTGCCAATGTAACCCTCTAGGCAGGAGCATACAGCATGGCCATTAATATCGCGGCATTGGCTATTCGCACCACAGGGTGAAGGGGAACAAACTGCTTGCTTGGGCTCTTCAATTATTTCCTTAAGTCTACAGGTGCTGAACGGATCGCCTTCGTAGCCGGTTATGCAAGAGCACACTGGAATATGGTTGAGCACTTCACAAATGGCATTGATGCCACAAGTGCCGGGGCAAGGGTCTACACATTTGTTGCGCATGCACACCTTGTCTCGTGGACAATCTGCTGAGAGCGTGCACTCTGGACGACAGCCATCATAAGGGTTGCCTTGATAGTTGTCTTGACAGCGGCATTCGCCATTGAAACAATCGGCATTTGGTCCACACGGGCTTGGATCGCAAGGATCGTTGGGAGTTTTTGGTGACTCCGTAACTGGTGGTATGGGACTGCAACGGATGAACGGATCGCCGGTATAGCCGTCAATGCAGTTACAAATTGGCACATGGTTGAGCACGTGACATTTGGCTTCGAAACCGCAAGAACCGGGACATGGGTCGCGACATTTTTGGTTGATGCACGCCTCAGTTGGACCGCACTCCGAATTCAGCACACATTCCGGACGACAGTTTGGTGGTGCGCCGATGAAGTCTTGTAGACAAGAGCAAGCCGGACTACCGCCGACAATTTGGCATTTGGAGTTAGGACCACAAGGCGAGGGAACACAGGACGGTGGACGTTCTGTGGGTTCCACGTCATGAATAATTGCTATAAGAAGAGGGTTGGGTGAGGGAAAGAGTTAGAAAATGCAATTGAGCTTATGAATAACTTGGTCGTGAGGCTACTTACGTATCTTTGAGCATTGTACAAATGGATCGCCAGTCATGCCGCGCGGGCAAGTACAGATCGGGCTGTGATTCTTTGTCGTGCATATGGCGCGTATGCCGCAAGTATGCAAGCATGGATCCACGCATTTGTTGTTCACGCACGCACGCTCCGGCGCACACTCTGAGCTTACAACGCACTCAGGTCGACAGTTGGGTGGTTGATTAATGAAGCCGGATTGGCAGGAGCATACAGCTTGGTCGTTTATGTTGCGGCAAATACTATTCGGTCCGCATGGTGATGGAACGCAAGGGTTGATGATAGGTGGTGGCGTAACTGGTATCGGTTTACATTGGAAGAACGGATCGCCGGTGTAGCTAGGCGGGCAGTTGCAAGTAGGCACATGATTCTCTACAGAACATATGGCAAATTCGCCACAAATGTTGTTGCATGGATCAACGCACTTGAAGCGCACGCAAGCCTGAGCTGTTGAGCAGTCATCATTAACTTCGCATTCGCGTCGGCAACCGCGCTCCGTATCGTAGGGATTGCCTTCGAAACCGTCATGACAGTAGCATGCCCCGGCGCCATTGCGCTCTCTACATTCGGCATGTGGGCCACAAGGTGAGGGTTCACACGGTGATGTAGGCGGTTGCTTCGGCAGCACTGGTTCTATTAAATCGCAACCCAAAATAGGATCGCCTTCATAGCTGTCGGCGCACGAGCAGATCGCATTGTGTTGCACAACCTTACAGAAGGCATTGCGCCCGCAAGAGCCAGGACATGGATCGACGCAACGTTCGTTCTGGCATGACAAATTGTTAGGGCACTCATCATTGTTGCTACATTCCGGCCGACAGTTTGGCGGGCGACCTACGTAGTTCAATTGGCAGGAACAAGCCGCCTGTCCGCCGATTTCGCGACACAACGAATTTGGGCCACATGGTGACGGCACGCAAGGATTTTGTGGATCACGCGGTGTTTCCTGCTCCTCCACGCATGATGTAAATGGATCGCCGGTCAAGCCAGCCGCGCAAGTGCAAATCGGATTATGATTCACCACTTGACAACGCGCATTATTACCGCACGCGCCACGACATGGATCGGCGCACTTCTGATTAATACAAGCGCGATTCTGTGGGCACTCCGAGCTGACGACGCACTCTGGCTTGCAAGTGGGTGGCGCACCGACATATCCATCGACGCATGAGCAAACAGCGTGCCCATTCGATTCGTGACATTCGCTGTAGGGACCACAAGGCGAGGGTTGGCATGGATTCAGTGGCGTCATAGTTGTTATTTCGATAACAGCGCAGGAACGATGTGGATCGCCGGTGTAACCATCAAAGCACATACAGTTCGGTGCATGATTTAGTACGCGACATTCAGCATTGATGCCGCAAACGCCAGGGCATGGATCTTGACACTTGTTATTGATGCAAGCACGCGAGCGATCACAGTCCGAGTTCTGTACGCATTCTGGACGACAGCCGCTATACGGATCGCCAAAGTATTCAGGTAGACATGAGCACGAGCCGGCGCCATTGCGTTCGCGACAAACGGCGTTAGCGCCGCACGGACTGGGATTGCATGGATTGCGTGGCTCCTCGGTGGGTGTCACTGTAAGGTGAAAGAGAGGAGGGAAGAAGGTGTAAAAATATGGCCTGAAATTAGTAATTACAAACTAGACACTTGAGACACTTTAAAGCGGTGTTGCAGTTAACTAGGGAAGTTTTTGTTTAAGAGAAAATCATTTAAATTTTTTTTCTCAGATGTGATGTATTTTGGAACAAATTCCAATAAGTCCTTGTGAGTTTGAGTTTAAGCCGCTTCGATGTTGTACCATCAAACGCATCAGATTATGAATGAAATTCTTTCCAAAATAAATAATTTTCTCTCTTTCTCGGAAGAGTCAAAAAACTCGCATGTCCAACTCGGCAGTGCTCAAGTGCCTAAATAAAAATGTGTATATTTATGTCGCTCGAAAGTATATACTTTTTACAATAGCACAGCCAGAGAAAGGATCTCCAGTATAGCCAATTTCACATTGACACGTAGGATTGTGTTTTATAACCGTACACTGTGTATGTACACCGCATGCGCCGATACAAGGATTTGTACATTTCTGATTGGTACATGCCAAATTAGCTGGACAATCTGAGCTACTTAGGCACTCGGGACGGCAGTTGGGCGGTCGCCCCAAGTAGGTAGGCAAGCAGGAACATGCAGGTGAACCGCCAACATCGAGACACTTCGAGTTGGGTCCACACGGTGAAGGTATACATGGATTACCAGGTTTAACTACTACAGAAGGCACGTCCACTACACACCCACAGAGGCAACAGGAAGATAGATGTTAAACACACAGGTAGGTAGGCAGGCAGGCGTTCAGGCAGCAGGCAGTGTTGGATAGGTTGTGTTCACAGTAGTAGTAGTAGTGTTTTCATAGTTGGTTGATAGTAAGTTTTCATAGTTTGGCATAGTTGTAAGTACAGTATATAGGTTTTACACAGGCAGAACACAAATATTTATATAGAAGAGATAAAAGTAGAGAAAATAACAAAAGAGAGAGAGAAAATACACAGTTATTTAATGATACATGCAAGCAAATAAAGAACGAGTTTAGGCAGGGAACCTTGCGGCAGAAGCGTGTCATCCACTTTGCTCTTAGAAGACAACTCAGAAGCGCACTTGTATCAAAGTTATAGCCAGCACACTTCCCTACTTCTGACGCCAAGTCCCCACCGCCGTATACTTTTCAAAAACTACACATGCTTACGTTTAATTTTAATACATCTACTGAAGGGATCCCCCGTATAACCCGGCGGGCAAGAGCACGCTGCATAATGGTTAATGACTTGACAACGCGCTTCGCTACTGCAGGTACCAGGACAGGGATCGATACATTTCTGATTTTGGCATGCAAGATTTTGTGCGCAGTCAGAGGAAACGATGCATTCGGGTTTACAATTCGGTGGAGAGCCAATAAAGTTCGTCTGACAGGAGCATACGGCATGACCATTCACCTCGCGACATTGACTGTAGGGGCCGCATGGTGACGGGATGCAGGGATTAGTGTCTTTCGGGGCTGTGCGGGTAAAGAAAAAAGGTATTCGGTGGCATGAGTAAAAGGTTCGACTGGTTAGGTAGTTAGTAGGTTTATCATCTTGCATACTTGGAGCTGGCGGTAGTTGTGGTATTTCCCGGCAAGCGCTCAACGGGTTACCCGTGTAACCTTGTAGACAGTGGCAATTGGGCGCGTGATTGGAAACGCGGCATTCGGCATTCAAGCCACAAACACCTGGACAAGGATCGCTGCATTTATTGTTGACACAAGACTTATCACGTGGGCAATCAGAGTTCGCTATGCATTCGGGACGACAGCCGCTGTAGGGGTCACCAAAATATTCCGGCAGGCAGACGCATGAGCCGGCGCCATTACGTTCGCGACATTCAGCGTTGGGGCCACAGGGTGAGGGAATGCAAGGCGTTAGACGCTCTTCGGGTATTGCGGCTGCTAAAAGGGTTAACAAGTGAAGAAAGAGTTAGTCATATTGACGCCACCGATAACGAAATAGGCTGCGGTAATAGCTTACGCGTTGGATTGCAGCCGGCGAATGGATCGCCGGTGTAGCCAGTCTCACAACTGCATACAGGCGAGTGATTTACCACATTGCAGAAGGCATTGAAACCGCACGAACCAGGGCAGGGATCCTTGCAGCGCTCATTTATACAAGCCAAATTGGCTGGACATTCCGAACTGAGCGTGCATTCGGGACGACAATTGGGCGCGCGGCCCACGAAGTTCGGCAAGCAGGAGCAAACTGGGGTTTCGCCCACAGCGCGGCACTGTGAATTTGGACCGCATGGACTTGGTACGCATGGATTGGTTGGACGTGATGGCAAACGCGGTTCTTCGCCTAAGTGAGGCAAATACAATTAGAGTTAACGTTGAAGTGGGTAATGGAGTGTTTAGTGTCTTACTTGCAACAGGTAAGCAACGTATGAACGGGTCTCCTGAGTAGCCAACTGGGCAAGTGCAAATCGGATTGTGGTTTGTTACCTTACAACGCGCTTCGTTGCCGCAAGTATCCGGGCATGGATCTACACAGCGCAAATTCACGCAAGCCTTATCTTGCGCGCACTCGGAGCTAACCGAGCATTCGGGACGACAAGACGGCGGTGTACCAATATGGTTGGTAATGCACGAGCAGACCGCATGACCGTTTACTTCACGACATTGGCTATAAGGACCACATGGTGAAGGGCGGCATGGCTGCGCATCCAGCTCTGTAGAAAAATACATAGGGTTACTAAAGGGTTCTTCGAGATAAGTACTGAGTGAAGGGACTGTACGTTTTGGTTGTTCGCGACAATATTCCGAAGGGTTACCCGTGTAACCAGACGGACAGCTGCAGCTTGGCGCATGATTAATAACGTGACATTCAGCACCTACGCCGCAGACGCCTGGACATGGATCGCGACATTTGTTGTTCATGCAGGCAAGATTTTTCGGACAGTCAGTGTTGAGGACACATTCGGGACGGCATTCAGTGTATGGGTCGCCAGTGTATTCGGGCAAGCAGGTGCAGGAACCGACGCCGTTGCGTTCTTTGCAAACAGCATTCGCGCCACAGGGGCTGGGATTGCAAGGCATGGGGATTTCAGGTGGTGCATGTACTAATTTGGAGGGAGGAATAAAGCGTTACAATACGTTTATCCATATAAATAAATTCTAACATGCGTTTTCTATAAATCATAAGCTTAAGCATTGCTATAACGGAAATCTTACTTTGCGGACTACATTCTGAGAAAGGATCACCCGTGTAACCTTCCAAGCAGCGGCATATTGGCCTATGATTATTTACAATACATGTCGTGTATGAACCACATGAGCCCTGGCAGGGGTCTTGACAGCGTTGATTGATGCAAGCCATATTGCCACGGCATTCCGAATTCGATGTGCATTCGGGTCGGCAATTCGGTGCTCTGCCGATGTAGTTGGGCAGACATGAGCACACAGCTTGACCGTTTGTATCCGAAACGCGACACTGTGAATTCGGGCCGCATGGCGATGGTATACATGGATTTATGGGATCTCTTATGATAGGTCGTTCTACATATATATATATATTATACATATATACAGCGTATAATATTCAACATGCAACCGGAAGAAAATGTCCACAAAAACGTAGAAATAAAAGCAAAAGAAAAAAGAAAAATTTGTATAAGTAAAGATGAAATGAGATGGGTATGGATGGTGATCAAGCACGCGCCCGACGCGTTGTGAAGCTGTGAAGAAAAAAAGCTCAGACATGCAACACCGCTAACGGCTTCACAGCGCGTTGAGCGCGCGGATGATGCGACAAAGCGCAATATGCTTACTCTCTTCATAGATGCAGCGCACAAATGGATCACCAGTGTAACCAGGTGTACATGAGCAAATTGGATTGTGATTGACGACGCGACAGAGGGCATTGTTGCCGCAAGTGCCCGGGCAGGGATCTTTACAGCGTTCATTGATGCAGGACTTGTCTTGCGCACAGTCAGAGCTGCTCATGCATTCCGGACGACAGTTGGGTGGTGCGCCCAAATAGTTCGGTAAGCATGAGCATACTGCATGGCCATTGACAGGTCGGCAATTGCTATAGAGCCCACACGGCGATGGCTGACAAGGGTTGATAGGTATCGGCGGTTCATCTACGCGAGCGAGACATTCAAGAAGAAATAAAGTTTGTGTGGTCAGTATAGATGACTAATAATTTGAGTGGGCTTGAGTGGGTGAGGTCTTACATTGCGGCGGTGGCTCAGGTATGGGCGAGCAACCGATGATTGGATTTCCAGTATAACCGTTAAAGCACTCACAGTTCGGCGCATGGTTAAAGACCGCGCATTCGGCATTACGCCCACACATACCCGGACAGGGATCGACACATTTGTTGTTGACGCAGGCGCGTGTCTTCGGACAATCCGAATTGATGACACACTCCGGACGACACTCAACATAGGGGTCGCCAAAGTATTCGGGTATGCATTTGCATGAAGCCGCACGATCGCGCTCTTCGCAAACAGCATTCAAGCCACAGGGACTGGGGCGACAAGGTTGTATTGGCTCATCAGGTACTGGAAAAGTTTGCAATTGGAAGTAAAATATCAGTAAGTAGTGCGCTTTTCGACTTAGTCGGGATGAAGTGATCTCAACATACTTTCAATGACTTTGTAGCAGCCAGAGAATGGATCGCCAGTATAGCCCGGCTCACACATACAAATCGGTGCATGCGCACTAACTTGACAGAGCGCATTGTTGCCACACGATCCCACACAAGGATCGGCGCAACGTGCATTCATACAAGCCATGCGCGCTGGACACTCCGAGTTGATGGTGCATTCCGGTCGGCAATTTGGCGGTCGGCCAATATAGTTCGAAATACACGAGCACACTGCGCCTGAACTAGCTGAGCGACATTGCGAATTCGGGCCACAAGGGCTGGGTACACAAGGATTCTGCGCTGGTATGCGTGGTTGATCAAGTGGTTCTAAAAGCATACGAAATTTCTGTTAGTTTTGATGCGTCAACTTGGTGGTCGGCGTGCGCGGTAACCTACTTCTTTCGGGCACACATTGTTGAAACGGATCACCAGTGTAACCATGCGTACAGCTACAAATCGGCGAGTGGTTGGTAACGCGGCAACGTGCATTCTGTCCGCAAGTACCCGGACATGGATCCTGACAACGCATATTGATGCAAGCTCTATTCGAAGGGCATTCCGAGCTTAGCATGCACTCTGGCTTGCAGTTGGGCGGATTTCCCAAATAATTAGGTAGACAAGAGCAAACGGCGCGATTGCTTACAACACGACAGGTGCTATACAAGCCGCAAGGGGAGGGACGACAAGGATCACGCGGTATAGGCAGGTACATATCTACATAGTTAAGTATTGTGTGAGAAAGATAAGATTGGATATTTTTATTAGACGTGATTGTATTTAGCAAACGTTTTGCCGAACACATACTTGACGGTTTTTCGTGGCAGCTACGCATTGGATTGCCCGTATAGCCGGAGATGCATTGACACACAGGTATATGATTCGTAACGCGACACTCGGCATTAATGCCACAAAGGCCTATACATGGATCGACGCATTTCATATTTACGCAGGATTTTGTGCGCACACAATCACTATTCTGTACACATTCGGGGCGACAGTTTATATACGGATCACCAAAGTAATCTTGTATGCAAGTACATGAACCAGCACCATTGCGATTTCGACAAATGGCATTTGAGCCGCAAGGCGATGGATTGCATGGATCGGCGGGTATATCAGGCACTACGACTATGGAATGGATAGAGCATAGATGGGGGAAGAGAGATAGTATAGTGATGAGTTTTGGCAGCGTGATAGTGATATATTCAAATATACAATGCTAATGGTAGGTACAGAAAATTTAATTTAAATAAACATACATATGATGGCATAAGATCAGAAGCCGAGGAGGTCCAAGTAAAAAAAAAAAAGTATGACAATGAAACCTAACTTGGTGCATTTTATGCAAAACGGGAAGCTGTTTGAAATATTGAATCGGAACAAAATATACTGAAATGGAACGCGACGGAATTTGAATAGAAGGGGGATTATAGTGAAAGCAAATTATATGGAACGGCACGAAATGAATGGCTAGATGGAAAGAAAGCGGTACAAAATGAGTAAGACTTCAGTCGAAAAAATGGAACGCAAAGCGTCCTAAGGAATAAAACAAAGAAAAAAAAAATGCTCGAAATGAAGCCCGTTAATGCATCTAAATGAGTGGGATTGAAATAAATTGCATTGGAATGTATTCGAGTGGGTTGACTTGAGCTAAGTTGATCTGGTTCGGGTAGTGGGGCTAGATTAGGCTGGAATAAATTGGGCTTGATTGGATTGAATTGGCGGATTTATCTGGCATAGATGGACTGCGTTGGATTTGACTCAACTCATTAGACTTTGCTTGAGTTTAAATGGACTCTACTGAACTGAATTGGATCGGATTGGCCTGAGACATACTTACTTACTGGACGTTTTTTAACTTATATAAGTGAAATATTTGAACTGTTGTGGACTAGGCAAGAAAGGAGTTAACTGGTTCGGACAAGACTGGGCCGTATTAGCTTAGATGGCATGCGAACAAACGGATCAGAACTGGCTGTGATTACAATGGACTGGACAGGCTTGATTGAACTGTGCTGGACTAGAATGTATAATAGTGTGCTTGACCACATTACATCGGATTGGACTGAGCTAGACGGGAAAGTACTCGACTGAACTTTGCTAATCTTGACTGGACAGGACTAAATGGAACTGTACTGGTTTGGATTTTATTAGTTGGGATTGTATCGCTCTGAGCTAAACGGGATAAAACTCAACAGAATAGATTTTGATGAAATGGATTAGCCTGGTTTGAGTGGTAATTGATTAGTCTGATGTGACTGAACCATACTGGACTACATTGGATAGAACTGGATAGGACTAAGTAGCTTTGGATTGGACCTCAATAGAAGAGAGAGGATGGGAAAGACTAAAATTAATTGAACTAAATTAGACTGGTTTGAGTTGAAATTGAGTAGGCCGGTTTGACTGAGTTGTACTGGACTACTTTGGAGAGGACAAAATAGGATTGGACTGTGTTAGATTAGATTGGTTTGGATTCGGCAGTACTGAACTATAATCAAGAGAAATCGACTGGACTTGACTGAACTGGATTAGACTTGGTTTTGAGAGAAACAGGGAGGAATTGACTGAAGTGTACTGAACTACAACGGACGGGACTGTTTAGGACTGAATTGGTTTGGACTGGACTATGTTATAACTGATTACACTGCACTAGGCAAGAGACGACTGGAATAAACTTGACTGAAATAGATAAGACTTGATTTAGTTGAAAACAGTTGATCGTGATTGATTGAACTCCACTGCACTAGGTTGGATAGGACTGGATAGGACTGAACTATGTTGGACCAGATTCGATCGAGATTATTTACGTTGAATTGAAAGGAAGACTGCTTGACTGGTTTAGAGATCATATCCAAGATGAAGGATTGAATTGAAATGGACATGACTAGACCGACCTGGGCTGCATTCAACCGCATGAAGTTGAACGGGATTGTTTTGAATGGGAGTAGAATGAAATGAAAGCAAAAAGAAAGGGTTGGAATGGAATAGAACTTAGTTATCGAAATTAAAAGAATTTAAAATGTAACTTTTCGGCTTCTGACCTAACTCCAATTTAAAAAGCAAACAACTACGAACATAAATGTCTAACTATGCACTGCTAAAAAGAGAAATGTAAACATGCAGGCAACAACAGTAATAATACAAATATACAATTAAATAAAAAATATTCAGGCACATAGAAGTAATACATTCAAAAGTACCAATAACCTTAACATAGAAAAACTGAAAGAAATGTACAATTATAAGATTCAGGGGGCTATCGGTATCAATGGATACCAAGCGGTTGAGTATGAGCTCAAAAAGTAGATAATCGAAAACCTTAAACGAGTACTCACTTTGCGGTGTGTTACAGCCAGCATACGGGTCACCTTCGTAGCCCTCAAGACAAGAGCAGACGGGCTTGTGATTTTGTGTTGTGCAAACCGCGTTGAAGCCGCAAGCACCAGCGCAAGGATCTTCGCAGCGTTGGCGTATACAGGCACGATTCGATGGACAATCCTGATGGATAACACATTCGGGACGACAGTTGGGCGGCGCACCGAACATACCTGGCGCGCAACTACAAGCAGCGCGATTATCAACGTCACGACATTCTGCGTTGGGGCCACAAGGACTGGGCAGGCAAGGATTTATTTTCGGTGGTGGTTCGCGAGCTGTAAGGAAGAATATTAAGAATTTCTCGGATATGCTTCTTTCTGTTTCTATACTTACGTTTTGGCACACATTGCTCAAACGGATCACCCATGTAATCGGCTGGACAGGAGCAGATAGGATTGTGATTAACCACTTGGCATTTGGCATTGAAGCCGCAGGTACCGACACAAGGATCTGTGCATTTCTGATTGATACAAGCCAAGTGCTGTGCACATTCCGAGCTAACAACACATTCGGGTCGACAGTTGGGTGGCGCGCCGAAGTAGCCTACTTGGCAGGAGCAGGTTGGACGATCGTCCACCACGCGACAAATGCTGTTAGCACCGCAAGGTGTGGGCTCGCAAGGGCTGAGCGGTAGGGTTGCTGTTGAATGAAAATGAAAGAGAGATGTTTAGAAAAAGAGAGCATTCAGAATAAAATCAATCACTTACGACTCTTTCGCTTGCAGCCAGTGAATGGATCGCCTTCATAGCCACGCGCGCAGCTGCATGTAGGCACATGATTGACTACCGCACATTCAGTGTTCGAGCCACAAGTGCCCACGCATGGATCGCGACAATGCTGCTTAATGCAGGCAAGCGCCGAAGGACACTCAGCGTTGTAAACGCACTCGGGTCGACAGCCAGTGGTGTAGGGATCGCCAATGTAAGGTTCAATACAACTACAGCGTGCTTCGCCATTACGTTCGCTACAAATTGCGTTCTCGCCACAAGGACTAGGATAGCAGGGATCGATGCGGTCTTTTGGCTCTATAAAGTGTAAAAAAGAAAATTTTAAGCCCCTCACACATCGTTCATTGATTACTCCACTTACTCTCATCAATTTTCGAGCAGCCAACGAAGGCGTCCCCTTCGTAACCCTGGTCGCAGCTACAGTGCGCCGCATGCGCAATCACTGTGCAACGCGCGTTGTGTCCGCATGTATTAGCACATGGATTTTGACATTTCTCTTGTATGCACGCCTTATCCGCTGGGCATTCGGTGTTCAAAGTGCACTCCGGGCGACAATATGGCGGGCTGCCGATATAATTGGCAACGCATGAGCAAACTGGCCGATCTTGTTTAATTTGACATATTGAATTGGGTCCGCATGGCGAAGGCACACAAGGATTGCGATCAGTTCTTTCCTCTGGTATGCGGCCGCACGACACGAACGGATCACCTTCAAAACCGGCTTCGCAAGAGCAGATGGGATTGTGGTTAAGGACTTCGCAGCGTGCTTCTACGCCACATGTGCCCGGACATGGATCTGCGCAGCGTTGATTGATGCAAGCTTTGTTCAGCGGACACTCCGAGCTGACAACGCATTCTGGCTGACAGACTGGCGGTGAGCCTTTGAAGTTCGGCAGGCATGAACAGGCCGCATAGCCATCCGGCGAAATCATGCAACGTGAGTTGGGGCCGCAAGGCGATGGTTCACAAGGGTTGCGCGCTGGTTTCCTAGGTGGTAAGTAGTATGGATTACATTGGACAGCTGCGTCGCCAGTATAACCATCTACGCAGATGCAGACAGGTGCATGATTAACAATACGGCACATGGCATTGATGCCACAAACGCCGACGCATGAATCCACGCATTTAGAATTGACGCAAGATTTATCAGCTGGACAGTCTGAGTTGAGTACGCATTCTGGTCGGCAGCCGATGAAAGGATCGCCGAAATAACCTGTGCGACAGACGCAAGTCAAAGCGCCACTTCGTTTCTTACATTCCGCATTGGCGCCACATTGTAATTTCTCGCAGCTAGGTGATGGTGCTGGTTCAAACGGCGAAGGCGGTGAGCAGTGCTCGTAGGGATTACCGTACAAGCCAGGCGGGCAGCTACAGATGGGATTATGTTCGTACACATTGCAGACAGCATTGTGTCCACATGAACCAGGGCATGGATCCAAGCAGCGTTGGCCTAAACAGGCGCGATCGAAGGGACAGTCGGAGTTTGATAAACACTCAGGTCGGCAGCGTGGGTTCTGTTGTGCATTAGGCCCAAAGCAAGGGTCGCAAAGCGCTACACCGTCACCGTATATCGAGCAAACATCTTGTGGTCCACAAGGTGAAGGGACGCATGGGTCGCGTGTTATATTCTTAAGCACGCCAACAGGTATACATTGACGGAAAGCGTCACCGGTAAAGCCGTCGAGACATGCGCAGATGGGCGTATGTTGTTGTACTCTACAAATCGCATTAATGCCGCAAACTGTGCCAGCACATGGATCAATACACTTATGGTTGATACAGGCTTGCGCCGTGCCGCAGTCAGAGTTAATATCACATTCGGCGCGGCAGCCACTCTGTGGATCACCCAAATAGCCGGGCAAGCAGGAGCATACAGCACGGTTGTTTAGCAGTTTACAGTCACTATTGACGCCACAAGGGTTGGGCAAACATGGATTGCGACTAGGGGTTTTTGGTATGTCCAGCGCATAGCACCGTATGCCCGGATTGCCAGTGAGTCCAGCATTGCATGAGCAAACTGGATGGTGCTCTTCCACGCGGCAATTGGCGCCTTGTCCGCAAGCGCCTGGGCAGGGATCGTAGCATTTGAAACCCATGCACGCCTTGTCGTGCGGGCAATCGGCATCCACTTGACATTCGTAACCATGACAGCCCTTAGTTGAGGTGGGATCACCGGATAAACCATCCGGACATATGCAAGCACTTTGACCATCAACAGAAACTATGCATTCAGCATTCGGACCGCAAGGATTTGGTTCACACGCGCTACGTGGTGGTTCGCGGCAACCTTGATATGGATCACCAATATAACCTGGACGACAGTAGCATTCCTCGCGGTTGCTAGTAACGTAGCAATCAGCATTGCGGCCACATGGGCCAGGTGTACATAATTCATCGGAGATGGGCGGTTTTTCGCAGGACTTGAATGGATTGCCGATTTGGCCGTCGGGACAAAAGCAAACCGGTGTGCGCGAAGAATCGCAAACAGCGCCCAGGCCGCAAGGGCTTGGGTCGCATGGATTGACAGGTTCGATGCAGCCACGAATCGTGTTGGGACTTTCCACATAGCCGGGTAGGCAGGTACACTTCGAGAAGCCATTACTGAGTACAGCACATTGGGTGTTCGGCCCACAAGGGGATGGATCGCAGGGGCTCTTCGGCACTTCGCATTGCACAAGCGGTGGTTGACCTTCATATTCGGGTAGACAGAAACAGGTGGGTGAGCCACCCACCATGCGACAACCCGAGTTGGGACCGCACGGGTTCGGGCGACACTCATCGCCTTCGGGTACTGAAAGGGAACGGAAGAGGAATGGTTAGGAGTTTTGAGGAATTGTTTTTTTTTTTTACCGATTAAGTGACTATTGCCGCTCACTAAATACTTACTGCAATTTTTGAAAGGATTGCCGGTGAGTCCCTTGGGGCAATAACAAATTGGATTACCATTATCAAGCTCGCATAGCGCACTAACGCCACATGGATTGGGGTCACAAGGATTGATAGGTGGATTGCAGGCGACTTCTGGTCTGCCACCGTAGCCTGGTGGACACTTACAAATGCCACGATGATTGATGACATCGCAAAGTGCATTAGCACCACAGCGACAGGGTGAAGCGCATTTACCGTTAATGCACGCTTGACTGGCGTCACATTCACGATCCGCGCGGCAACCCTGCACTTGCGAACATTCGATGTAAGCATTGCCGATGAAGCCTGCCAGACAACGGCACTCGATGCCATGGTTGACGGGTATACACTCAGCATTCTCACCACACGAGTCCTCGAAGCAGGGATTGATGCAGCGGCGGTTGAGACGATCACAGAGTTTCGTAGGTGGACAATCCTCGTTGTACTGACAGACAGGTGTGTGATCGAGCGCTGTAGTGCGGTGTGGCGTTTGGCGAGTGGAGGATGAGCCAACGAAACGGGCGCGGTTGGTGCGTAGTTGTTTTTCGTATACAGAGTTTGTTGTGCATGTGTATGTTTTATTTCATTGATTGATTTTGTAAAGTGTATTTATATATTTTGGGACGTTGGTGGTGTGGTGAGTTTTATTTCATATTCAATTTTTTTTGTGGTGTTGCAGGAAGGTACACATTGTTTTTTTTTTTTACAGGTGAATGGTGTGAGCATATTTTACAGTGTTTTGAAAAGAAAATTGGAGAAATAGTGACGAAATTAACATTGCGAAAAATCAAAATATTGTAAATATGAGGTGCAGTCTTGCACAGAGAAAAATTAACTTCAAGTTTCTCTTAGGACATATGGGAGAACACTTCAACGCAATGACAGGCGACTGGCGTTCGTAGAAAAAAAAACAACAAAGCGCATTTTTATAACTTGGTTGCTGCAATTGAACTTTTATTCTAACGTTTTTGGTGTGAAATGCATAGTTCTGGACTAGTTCAGGGCCATTTTGGTGCTACGTAGTTCACGACTAGTAGTTCTGAACCATCTCGGAGATATTTCCGGACTATTCGGGGTCTAGTTCTAGATTATTTCCGAAGCATTTCAGGACTAGTTCTTGACTTTTTGAGGTAAGTTCAAGACTGTTTTGAGACACGTTCCGGTTCATTTCGGGCCTAATTCAGGACCATTTAGGGATAGTTTACGATATTTCAGGACGATTTTATGACTAGTTCCGGACTATTTCAAGACAATTGCGGGACTAGTTGGAGGAAAATTTCGGGGCTAGATTGAGATCATTGTGGGTCTAGTAAGGGCCCATTTCGGGACAGTTTCAAGACTTGTGTGAGATCCTTTCGGGGCAAGTTCGCTTGGGCTTAGTTCGGCCCTAGATCGGGATCATTTAGGAGTAGTTCGAAACTCGTCAGGAAATGATCCTGAACTACTCGCGGAGTTGTTATGGAAGACTCTTGTACTGGTCCCGACAAAAAAATTAAATTAACTTCTAATTTCTTATCTAACCTATTTACGTATGTAACTGAATCGGCTAATGCTTTGCCAAGCTCACACAAATGTTTACACATCAAATTTCATGAGTACCTGGTACTCACGCCTCCTTTCTTTTCCTTTTGCTTTATTTCAGGTCGCTCGCCTGTCATTGCAATTGAACCGCTCCTGTACAGCGCCTCTCCGCAAACGCATGTGCGCACTTACCTGGCTGACAGCCGATAAAACCATTGCCTTGATAACCATCCACGCAGCTGCAGTCGGCCGCATGATTTGCATTCATACAGACAGCATTTTGTGCGCAAGGGTTGTGCGCATCGCATGGATGTTGACAGCGGCGATTAATGCAAGCCTCAGTTACATCGCAATCGGCATTGTGCGTGCACTCAACTGAGAGGGGGCGAGAAATAAATAAAAATTATAAATATTTGCAGACATCATTCAAACTAGATAGGCAATATATAATACAAATGAGTTAAGTATTTGTTGATTAGTTTGTTTTTGTTTAATGAAATATTGATTATTATTATTTTTTTTTTGTAAAGTACGAGTATTAAATATTTATTAGATATGGGATATAATGAACGTAGTCAGCTTACTTGTCCTATCCACTGGTGTACATTTGATGGCCGGATTACCTTCATGCCCCTTGGGACACGAACATATCGGCCGATGCATTTTCGCCACACACTTGGCGGTGGGCGCGCAAACATTCGCAAAATCGCAAGGATTATGACATAGACCCATGTAACATGCTTCGTTCTCAATGCAATCATTGTTCGATTGACATGGTTCCGGATTCTTTGGTGAGCCAGGTGATTCTACTTGTTAGAGATGTTAGAGAGCATTAATGGTTTGTTAATAGGTAAGTAATTTTTTTTTTAGATTATAGTGAATATGATTTGCAAATTTAAAAAAAAAAATGGGTTAACCAAAATACAAAATATACCAGTATGTACAGTCAGTATTGGAAAGTTTTGGGGGATTGTTATTTACAATTGTTTTTGAGTAAGCAAATATTGAGCAACCAAAAGGCGAGCAGTATGTTTTAGTATCGGAAAAATTGAATCTTGAGTATCAAAAATGCTTTTTAGCAAAATTGCTTTCGCTTCCGGAGAAGGCGGAAACAATAAATATTTACAAATAGTATTGAAAGTCTAGTACTTATGTTAGAAATCTGGTATAAAATATTACCCCTTTAAAATCATTTACACTGAACTCTTTAAGCAAGTAATAAAAATATAAACGGAGAGCTTTCATAAAGATTCTGTGGTATTTATTTGAAATATAGTTTCCACTTAAAAGATAGAAGATCTATTTACATTTAGAAAACTCTTAGGAACATATTCTAGCTAATAGTATTTACAGTTTAATTATATATGAAGAAAAAAGGTATGACCAGCTGTAAACGATATTTGTTTTACTTTCACATGCTTTATCTTTACAAAAATATAGCTTTCTTGTTAGACTTGCCAAATTTCTAAATTGGCAAAAGCTTCTAAATTTAAGTTTACTACGAAATATTCGAAAAGATTTAACCCTTTTATTCGCCCTAAAGCTTTCACCCTTTGAAGGCGTTCAAATATGATGTAAACCTTCTTTTTGCAATTAAGCTTTCACCGTTTACCGAAATTTAATTTAAACCAATTTTTTTTTCTGGAAAAATTCCATGAGTGTCTATGAAGCACAACTATTTTCTATACGAACGATACAAATTTTAAACAGAAATTATGGAGTTCTTTAAATTACATATAAATTTCAAAAAAAAGCTCTGTGTTAAGCTTCGAACAACTAGATAATATAAAGCAGTAACGCACAGAGAGAGAAGAAAATATGTAGAGAGCTTAAAACAAGCTCTAGAAGCGGGCAAAGCGCTGTTCATCATTGAAGTAAAGCATTAAGCAAATTGAGTTTTATTGACAAAGAGACGATTGAATGTAAGAATATAAAGCTTTTTTTTTAATTTTATATAGACATGCGCAGTATAAAAGCTCACTCTTATCATGACCAATATATTTCGTCTCTATATGTCCATTTTCAATCGTTTCGAACGACTTAAGCGGTACCTGACTCCTATAAAAAAGGAAAGACTTTTTAACGTGGAAATGGTTTAAAGGACTGAAAGATTTTGAAAACAAAATACAGACAAATTTTCATACGAACTTCCAAGGCTTAGCTTTCCCTACCTATACGATTTTGATGAACGCTTCTAAACGTCTAATGCTAATAAAAGTCCAAACATATGCAGGAATTATGAATTGAAAGTTGCATTTCTTCTTGTTTGCTCGTTGAAGAATTGACGTTAAAAAATTTTAAATAAAAATAAAAATTTTGTGTAGTATTTGTAAAGAATATATTAATTTTCTTGTAATAAAGTAAAGATTTTAAAATACTCCTTTATTCGGAAAAAGCTATTATAAAACGGTGAGGTTTCAAAAATCTTGAATAAGATGACTAAACTACAAGATCAAACAGCTTAGTTATTTGAGTTCCATGATCGTTTTTTTAGATTTGTGAATCACACTAATGATTCATTTGGTGCTTCCTTATAATAGGGCTTGAAAGTTTGATTAAGTGCTTTTGTATGTTTAAATTTTGAAAAGCTGAGTTTTTATACTACGTGATATTTTATTTGGGTTTGGAATTCGCGTGAAAGTTTCTTCATTTAGTGAAAGCTCCATCATATGGTGAAAGCTCTATCGCACCTGGAATTAATATAGTGAAAGCTCTTGTTAGAGCAAATAATAGAAGGTCTTTAAAAGAAAGCTCGCACATATAACTCAAGCTCTATTACATTGTGAATGCTGCATCATATGGTGAAAGTTCGATCACGTGGTTAAAGCTCCTTTTAAAAGAAAAGTTAATCATTTAAAAAAAGCTGCTCATATACCGAAAGCTCGATCATAAAGTGAAGACAGCTACTATTTTATTTTTAAATATGTAAACATGCATTTCATGCTCCTAGTTTATTTTCACATTTATTTCAAAAACCTCGCAAGCATACTGTGATCATCACGAAAAAAACTCAAAAAAGAAACATGCAAATAAGAAAAAAGCTTCTCCCGTAAAAAAAAACAAAAAAAAAAAAGAACTATACATTAACATTATACCTTGTACACACTCCGTATCGCTTGTGTCCCCTTCGCGACACTTGTTGCGACACACTCCCAGCACGCATAATTGACTAGAACCACAGTTAGTATGATCTGTACAAGTGTTAATCATTGTAATAGCGGTATCAGTGGTAGAGGTGTTGCTAATTGTACTGAAGGTAGTGGCTACTGTGGTGATGACACCACTTTCAGTGGTTGTGACGCTTTTAGTAGTCGGAGGAGTGCCAGGTTCATTAGTTGCCGCAGCTGGTGTTGTCGTTGTTGTCGTTAGCGGTTCGATTGTCTCATAAACGAATGGCGTCGTCGTGCCCGGCATAGTTGGACGCTCGCTGGATTGTTCGGTCACCGGTGGTGTTATCACCGGGAACATGGTTGTTATCAAATCACGAGCACTCATTGTCGTTTGCTCTGCCACCTCTTTCATTGGTTCAGTTACCATAGTCACCGGGAAGGTGGTACGTTGTGTGGTCGTCAACAAGGTGGTTAGATTATAATCAAATTCATTTGAGGTATCAATGCGTGTAGTCTTCATTTTGGGTGTAGTGGTTCGCGCATCAAATGGACCCTTACTATCTTCACCACGATGCGAGCTGCTGCTGCTCGTTGAAACCGAAGAAGAGGAGGTGGAAGTGGACGATGATGAAGAGGATGATGACGTCGAGACAGCGGTGAATGTGGGCGTGGTTGGCTGTTCTGGTACAGTACTGGCTGTTATGTTATTCTCACCATCGCGATAACCCTTAGGTGGTCCAGTTTTACTTGTCGTATTCAAGTCTAAATCTTTGCCCGATTCGGTTGTGCTGGAGCTGGGCGCTTCAGTGAATAGGTTTGTTGGAATTGTGGTAGCTTCTTCAGTGACGCCAGCGATTGTGGTTTCGTATGAGGTAGTGGTTTTAGCAGTGGTGGTGGTTGTGCTCGGCGTGGAGGTGCCAGTTTTATTTGTGAATATTGTAGTAACTTCAGTGATTGGGTTAGATGTAGTGGTGGTGGTAGTGGTTGTTATATTGGTAGTGGTTGTTATTGTAACATTAGCTATGTTTTTTTTTTTTGGTTTGTTGATGTAGTTTGGTTGTTACGGTACGTATTTACACAGGTAACGTGGGGAGATTGGTTTTGAAAATATACATATATACAAAAACGTGAATACATAAATATTTACAATGTTTTTAAATTTTTGTGTTGCTTTTATAAATGAAAAAGTGTGGGGGGCAAACCAAAATTAAGTGGATGGAAAATATTTGAAATGAAAACACTGTACGTGCATAAAGTAACGAAAAAAAGTGAAAATAAAAATTTTAATTTTTTTTTGTCAAAAAATTTTATTTTCCAAACATATTTTTGTTAAAGGTAAAAGTTAAATAAAATTATTAATAATGATAGAATAAGAAAAAATCTAAAAAATTTTATTTTCTAAAAAAATGTATTCAAATCAAAAGTAAACGCAATCTTGAAAATGGAAAAAAAACTTGATATTTCTACAAAATTTAAGTATTTCAGGCGTATTTTCGTTAGACATAAAAATCAAAGAAATTTTCTGAAAATCTAGGACTCGTTTTAATAAATAAATTTAGAAATTAAAAATTGCAAAAAATAAAATTTTTTGAAACAAATTTTGTAAACATAAAAATAAAACAAAATTCTAGAAAGTAGCTCTTAAAAAAAGACACACTAAGTGCCGTTTTCTCAATTATGTTTTAAAATTTATCTTGCCTGCAAACACATTGTTTAGAACAAAATTTGTGTTTAAAGAGCAGATGCATTTTAAAACCTACTTGAGAAAACGGCCTTAAAATTTCCAAACATAAATAAAAAAGAAAAAATTCAAACTTAAAAAAAAATTGCAAACAAATATTTGTTAAACAAAAAAAAAAAAACGAAAGAAATTCTAAAAAAATGGGAATAGTCATATGTACAACTATTTTACACTATTTGGTTGGTTTGTTGGTAGTTATATAAATATGTTAACAGTTTACTGTGTACAGTTAAAATTACTTAGTGAATTTGGTTAATTTTGCATTTTAGAATTTTAATCATTGTTTTTATTGTGTTAAAATATGTATTAAAAATCCAGCCAAAATTACTTCTAAAATAATTTTTGAGTGCCACTCACCTTTGATGCAGGCGCCCGTTGTGGGATCACAGTTGGTGCCTGGTGGGCAGTGTTCGCAGCCAGGTGTGCGGCCAGTAGCTGTAAGGAGGAGTGAGTAGGGTATGGAAATTAGTTTGTATTTTAATGCTTGTGAATTTTATGCAATTCATACTTTGTCGACATTGACAGCCATCGCATTCAAAACCGGCATGACAATCGGATTTGCTTTGACATTCGCAGACTAAAAAAATTAGTTAGGAAGTAAGTATTTTTACCCAGAATTATACTGAACTCATTGAAATATAAACAGATTAATTTAAGGGCCGTTTGATCAAATAGCTAAGAGAAAAAAATTTACTTTTTAAGGGGCAGATAAATTTTAAAACCTTCTTGAGAAAATGGCCCCAAAACTCTTAACTTTGGCACTGCAAAGTCAGTAAAAAACAAATCTTTAAGAAACAAACTAAAATAGTTTAACTTCCAGTTAAATATTAACTTGCCGGTTAGTCAGCTTTTAAGTTTTTCCGCTAAAAAATTAGTAACCAATTTTTATCGAAAAATGTAAACCAGTTAAATATTAACTGCCGATTAGCGCTTCGTTAAAAGAGAGTGGACCTACTAAACCTCATTCCAACAAAAAATATTTTAAACGGTTGAGGAAATTTTATATTAGAGTATCCCTCTAATGAGGAGATTTGCTTTACTCCTTCCATTATGGGATTGCAGACCAGGCGTCCCAGTCCTTTCGACATCAGGCTATACAGCTATAGGTTGTGGTCTTATGGGGTGTATGGGTCGTCGACGATCTTGGGGAACTTGTACTTAACACCTGAGGAGCAACTGATCGGTGCGAAACGATGCTGTCAACAAATGAATATTCTTTACCTTAATGAGTGGCAAAGAAGAAGTCTCTGGGACAGACAACAAATTTGGAGCTAGAGTGTTCCCTAAGGAACTCTTCGTTAACCTTAAGTTTAGGCCGCTAAATTTGAAGTCTGAGATGGTTGCGCTTAAGGCAGAAATCGACCGGCTAATATGTTAATATCCGGATGCTTATTACTGATCAGATCCGGTTGTAGTCGGTAGCGCTGAGCGAAAATACCAGCAAAGTTACAAGGGAAATACCAGATGGAGAAGGACTTGGCTTGACTTGGCACTTCCACAGAAGAGAAACGAACAACAAGGAAGAAGAAGAAGAAGAGCAATAGGTCACGAGCACTGAGCATTCCATCCGAGAAGCATAGACACCCATCAGGATCACTACCCTATTCCAGCCAAGGTTCGCATGCGTCTGTGCAATGAATACTTGGGTCAGGCAAGTCGAGGAAACTTTGACGCCGAAAAGCTGCAACAAACAGGCGAAAATTTTCGTAGACAACTCTCCACCTAGCTCGAGTAAGCAACACATGAACATAAGTAGTAGCATTAGACCTCTTGGTTTTCTACTCGCAGCACTAGAGAAGAGAAACCGAGAGCAAAGGAGGAATAAGAGATGTGTCTTTTCCAGAGGAAGAAAAGACAAACGGAAAGATGTAGAGACATGAGCTTAAATGCTACAGACGTTCAGAGTATACATGAGATATGGAGTGAACGTTTTTGAATGGCGAAACCGAATGCGGTCTGAAGAAGAAGAACCCAGAAATTAGCAATAATGCGACTTAAAAACAAGAAAGCCACCGTAGGCGGCGGTATAACGGCTGGGCTGTGAAACGCTTAAGATTCTACCTTTACGCAGGCTTGAACGGGTCACTCGTATGGATGAGCCGGACGGTCGGCGAAAAGATCCTTCGAATCGGCTCGCATGGATTGACAAAGATTTCCAAACACATATGAAGAACAAAGCGCAGTGGGACCTGTCTACACTTGGTGTGAATACGGCACAATTTTGCAACTTTAGGGAGAGGTAATTAGCAAACCGACAAGCGGTTGAGGTGCCAAATAAAAAGTATAAGATGTATATTTATTTCGGCCCAAATATACCCCAGCTAGATTGAAACGTATTTATTTAGTTATGCTGGATTTGCACTAGGCATTAGATGGCAAAACTTGTAATGCGAAAGTTGGGCACTAAAAAATAATCGTGTCTTTACGTTCAAAAAATTGTCACTAAGTTCGTTCCCAACATGGCATTTTTTAAATGGAACACATTTTTTGTCATTCTAATGCCTAGTGGAAACTCGGCATTATACTACGAGTATAATATACTAAGTTCCAAAGGGATCCAAGCGGCGGTTTGATACCGTAAGTTTTTTCATTTATAATTCTGTAACCGTAAAAGCTCTAACGAAACTCTAATCGATAGTTAATTTAATTTAAAATACTGTGCATATCTTGAATCTTCTTTTGTACTCACCTCTCGAACAGACCGGTTGATGTTCAATCACCTGACATTCTTGATCACGTCCACATGGATTCGAGTACGAGCATGGATCCAAGCAAACGCCATTGACGCAAGCGCGTTGCGTGGGGCATTCGTCGCTCGAGGAGCAGCCGATTTCTGTTGAAAGAGCGCATGCGCAGGCACACACCCAAATAACGAAAGCGTGTGTGAAAGAAAGAGAGTAGCGAGCACGCGCGCGCGAGAGAGAGAGAGAAGGAAGAAGAAATTTGTTTTCAAAATTAATATAAGGTCAAATAATGAGGCTTCTTTGCAACTTAAAAGTATATTATATAAAAAATAAAGCAGGCATTTGTTGTTAATTTTCTTTGCTAGAATTTTTTATTTGTTTTTTATTTTATGTGAAAAGTAATTTTTTCAACGCCGATCGGTGTGGTTAATTATCATTTTATTGTAGCATAGTTTTTGTACCAATTTGTTTTTACTGTTAAACAAAATTTGTTTGGTGTTACATCTCAATAGATGTGCTTTTGAATATCGATTTTTCTTCGTGTATTAAAAATATTATTTTTTAAACTAAACTTAAACAGAAGCGTTAACATGCAGCAAAAGCGTTTTTTTTTTTAGATTTTTTGTTTTGAGTGTGAAATATTTTTCTAAGCTAAAAAGTTGAAAGCTAAAATATTTACATAAATATATACACAAAAGTGCCAGCTTAAAAGTATTTACAGTTAGTTGCGAGAGCTTAAATATATTTTCGAGACTACAGAAATGCAATAATAACAAAAACATGAAGGCTAATACAGCTACGGTGGGACGAAAAGCCTCTACAATATATTTTTGTTAAATTATATTAGTGAACCTTAGACCAACATTAATGATGAGCTTCTATTTACATATTTACGAGTATCTACTGTTTTAAAGCTTTTGTTCACTACCTTCACATTTTTTTTTTCTAATTTTTAATTTTCTACTACATATATATTTTATGTACATTAAAATTATTTTTCCATTTTATCACACCTCCGAATTGTTAGTCCTACTCATAAATTCTTGCCAAAGATTTATGCAGAAACATGCTACATGCAACAAATGTATGTATGTATATGTAGATGATTCACAGCGCGCGCAAGCTCCAAACGAGGTACGCGCATGCGCATAGTCCACCATTGCGCGTGGAAAAAGAGGCGACTGTGATACAAAATGAAAGTATGCGATGGCTGATTCGTTGATGATGAAGAGATGGTAAGCGAAAGGAGGAGAGAAACAAATTGGAGGGAGAGAGGGATGGGAGATGATTAAAGAAAGATGTTTAGAGAAAAAAGTATAATTTAAGAAGGTGGGAGAATGAAATCGAGTACGACGGCATAAAATGAAAAAAAGGGAATAACAAGGAGCAAAAGGTCGTTGGAAGAGGCAAAAAGGCGGCATGAGAAGGATGCAGAATAAGGAATATATGTGGAGTTAGAAATGAGAAGTGAGGAAGAAGAGGACAGGATGTAAGAAAGAAGAATAGAGAAAGAGCAAGCGTCAGAAAAATAAGGAATTAGGAAGAAAGTGAAGAGCATGAGAGTTAGGAACAAGAAAGTAGAGGTGAAAAATTATAAAGAGAAAGAAGAAAAGTAAATGGGACAAACAATGAGTAACAGGAATTTTCAGGAGAGAAAGAGGAGGGGAAAAGGGATGGAACGATGGAAAATGAGAAAAAAGTGCAGAGAGTAGGTTAAGGAGTGAGAAAGAATAGGAGAGAGAATCAGAGAGGTGCTGAGAGGAGAGAAAGAGGAGAATGAGGAAGAAAAAGATAGGCAGGGACCCGTAAAGAGAGTTCTATGGCTTCGATTATTAAAAATGAATATGAGTGAGCGTTACAAGTGAGGTAGATCGGCAGGGAGACAGAGGCAAAACTTAGAAGAGCGGGATTGAAGGTGACAAAAGAGAGAAAAAGGTTAAATAAGGGGAAGTGAAGTGAAGAAAAATGACAACAATTTAATTATAAAATGAAAGAAGAATATAAAATGCGAGAAAGAATGAGTAATAAGAGACTGGAGGAGAAAAAGGAGGATGGAAAAGATTCGTGAGAAAAGTAGGAATGACAAAAATGCCAAGAGAGCATGGTGATGAGTGAGTAAGGAAAGAGAGTAAGAGAGATAATTAGAGTGACAGAAAGTGTAACAAAAAGGTACAGCGGGATAGTGAGGAAAATCCGTTGAGAGTGAGAGAGAGAGAGACGAGGAGTAAAGAAAAATAGGCCGGAAAGTCACGGGAGGGAATCGGGAAAGGAAAAAGGGTGGAGATTCGATAACTAGATCAATGGCGAAAATGGTCGATAATGTTTGTGATTGAACGTCATGAGATAAACAAGAGAAACTCTTTTCATTCTCTTATACATAATTGTAACTGCAGTAACCCGTTGCATTCAAACAAATAGCAACAACAATACGCTCAAATAACGAATACAAAATACATGACAGAAATACACATAATAATTGATAACATATAAAGAATTCTGTAACTAATCATTCAACATTGAGAAAGGGAGAGAGCGAAGAGAACATGCAAAACATAGACAGTACTGTTGTTTTCCAGCGAAGTCCAGCGTTGCAAAACATATTTCTTGTGTAATAAGGGTATATGCGGATTGAGAGTTGATGAATCCCAAAGGCAATGCAAACATAAAAGGATACATTTGATCCAGCTGAAACACTACTTGTGCTCACATTCATTCTCTTTTTTCCAATTTTCATCCCCCGCGAATGCAGATTTCGAGAAAATAAACACGCATGCCAAAAAACGCGCAACAGTGCGTGGTTAGTGCGCGTGCAAGTGAGAGACAGGGGTAAAGAGAAAGAGAGTGAGCGCGGCGCACAAGTAGAAGCAGGATAAATGCTTAGGTCCATAGATAATCCCAAAAAAGGGCATTCACATAAGAGTGATAACACAAATGAGGAAGTATAAAAAAGTAAGGAAAGAACAAACAAATAGCTGAGCGGCAAAGTCACATAACATAAACTTAACAAAGAGACAAGGTAGAGCGCGAGAGAGCGCGCAAGAGGGTGTCCGGAAAACTAATACGAATTCGAACAGATGGTTGCTTTTTGCATGCATGAGACATACGGCTATGAGTGGTGGTGATACTCGATAATTAATACAAAAAAAAAAGTTGTACCAAAACAATATTTGCATTGCAAAACTTTGCCGCTCGACATACATTTTTTTTTATAAAATTGGTTTTGCTTCTTGCTCAGCAGATAGTGTGAGATAGTGTGAAGAACATACAATAGAAGTCTAGGTAGGTAGAAGCAGACGTCCTTGCGGCAATCCACCCGGCCGTCGCTATACATAAACCGCAACCCCGCATTGCAAACTCATTCCAAGAGTGTTTCATTTATGTAGCATTTGCTCTGCTATTTTTCTAACAAACTATTTTCATAAACGAGCATCTTTTTCTTTTATACGGACATACTAAAACATACGTACAGAAGAAGACTTGTGAAGTTACCTGCAATTCTATGACAATCAGGTGTATTTACATCGGCTGCATTATCGCAAAAGCACATAGGCACATGTTGAACTGTTCGACAGATCATATAGTCAGGACTGTGCATTTGGCAGAAGGTCGGTAAGAGTAGGCAGGGGTTAATGCAATCCCCACGTAAACAGAACTCTTCGTTCGTGCAGTCAGTGTCTGTCTTACAGCGGATTGAGGGTTTGGTCGGGGGTTGTATTGTACTGGCTAGGTGTGGTCTTACTGTTTTGGCGGTTTCATTACCCTCCACCGTAGCTTCAGTTGTTGTCACATTTGCGCCATAGGACACTTGCAAGGTCGTTAGAGGACTGACTTCAGGTGTAGTCAGCATAAATGCTTCTGGTGTGGTTGATTCTACGTAGATGGGTGTAACGGTGACAGTACGTTGCGTGGTAGGTATTGCAGTGCCATAGCCGGAGGGTGTTACAATTTCAACCAAGCCGCTGGTGGTTCGAACAATCAAAGAGCCAGTAGTTGTTTCAAGTGGTGGAACCACAGTTACTCCCTCTTTTGTGGTTCTGAATGTTGGGACTGAAGTGTAACCCACAGACGTTTCAACGGAAGGAACTTCGGTGGCCGGCCCAGGTGTAGTTGTGATCCTAGTATCACCTGCAGGAGTTGTTGCGGCTCCTGGTGGTTTTGTAGTTCCTTCAGTGATAATCGTAGCGTATCCTACTGTTGTTTCAGCCGAAGGAACTCCGGTGGCCGGACCAGGTGTAGTTGTGATTATGGCATCACCTGCTGGTGTTGTACTTCCTTCAGTGGTAATACCAACACCAGGAATCGTAGTGTTTCCTACTGTTGTTTCAGTCGAAGGAGTTCCGGCGGCCGCACCAGGTGTAGTTGTGATTATGGCCTCACCCGAAGGTGTTGTCGCAGCTACTGGTGCTGTTGTGGTGAATTCAGTGGTTATTCTGACACCAGGGATCATAGTGTATCCTACTGTTGTTTGAACCGAAGGAACTTCGGTGGCCGGACCAGGTGTAGTTGTGATCCTGGCATCTCCTGCTGGTGTTGTTACGGCTCCTGGTGGTGTTGTAGTTCCTTCAGTGGTAATACCGACACCAGGAATAGTAGTGTATCCTGCTGTTGTTTCAACCGAAGGAACTTCGGTGGCCGGACCAGGTGTAGTTATGATTCTGGTCTCACCCGAGGGTGTTGTTGCGGCTCCTGGTGGTGTTGCAGTTCCTTCAGTGGTAACACCGACACCAGGAATCGTAGTGTATCCTACTGTTGTATCAACCGGAGGAACTTCGGTGGCCGAACCAGGTGTAGTTATGATTCTGGTCTCACCCGAGGGTGTTGTTGCGGCTCCTGGTTGTGTTGCAGATCCTTCAGTGGTAACACCGACACCAGGAATCGTAGTGTATCCTGCTGTTGTTTCAACCGAAGGAACTTCGGGGGCCGGACCAGGTGTAGTTATGATTCTGGTCTCACCCGAGGGTGTTGTTGCGGCTCCTGGTTGTGTTGCAGATCCTTCAGTGGTAACACCGACACCAGGAATCGTAGTGTATCCTGCTGTTGTTTCAACCGAAGGAACTTCGGGGGCCGGACCAGGTGTAGTTATGATTCTGGTCTCACCCGAGGGTGTTGTTGCGGCTCCTGGTTGTGTTGCAGATCCTTCAGTGGTAACACCGACACCAGGAATCGTAGTGTATCCTGCTGTTGTTTCAACCGAAGGAACTTCGGTGGCCGGACCAGGTGTAGTTATGATTCTGGTCTCACCCGAGGGTGTTGTTGCGGCTCCTGGTTGTGTTGCAGATCCTTCAGTGGTAACACCGACACCAGGAATCGTAGTGTATCCTGCTGTTGTTTCAACCGAAGGAACTTCGGTGGCCGGACCAGGTGTAGTTATGATTCTGGTCTCACCCGAGGGTGTTGTTGCGGCTCCTGGTTGTGTTGCAGATCCTTCAGTGGTAACACCGACACCAGGAATCGTAGTGTATCCTGCTGTTGTTTCAACCGAAGGAACTTCGGTGGCCGGACCAGGTGTAGTTATGATTCTGGTCTCACCCGAGGGTGTTGTTGCGGCTCCTGGTTGTGTTGCAGATCCTTCAGTGGTAACACCGACACCAGGAATCGTAGTGTATCCTGCTGTTGTTTCAACCGAAGGAACTTCGGTGGCCGGACCAGGTGTAGTTGTGATCCTGGCATCACCTGCTGGTGTTGTAGTTCCTTCAGTGGTAATACCAACACCAGGAATGGTAGTGTATCCTACTGTAGTTTCAGATGAAGGAACTCCGGTGGCTGGACCAGGTGAAGTTGTGATTCTGGTCTCACCTGAGGGTATTGTTGCGGCTCCTGGTGGTGTTGCAGTTCCTTCAGTGGTAACACCGACACCAGGAATCGTAGTGTATGCTACTGTTGTTTCAACCGAAGGAACTTCGGTTGCCGGACCAGGTGGAGTTGTGATCCTGGCATCTCCTGCTGGTGTTGTTGCGGCTCCTGGTGGTGTTGTAGTGCCTGCAGTGGTAATACCGACACCAGGAATCGTGGTGTATCCTACTGTGGTTTCAGCCGAAGGAACTGCGGTGGCCGGACCAGGTGTAGTTGTGATTCTGGTCTCACCCGAGGGTGTTGTTGCGGCTCCTGGTGGTGTTGCAATTCCTTCAGTGGTAATACTGACACCAGGAATCGTAGTGTATCCTACTGT